ATTTGGGTCTCCAGTGAGCACTACAATCAGTTTCACATTTTTCAAGTTAAGGAGTCTTTCCTGCAGAGTGCCGCAAGGACAAACATGTAGAAGAATCCTGCAACTAAAGGTCTACCAAAAAGTAGTCACTACAACAGCTACTTAGAGTCTTCCTCTTGTAACCAAAGCTCTCTAACAGTGATTCAGAGACTAGGGACCAAACTCAGCCTGATAGATGTTCAAGGATTGAATTCACTGTGAGATACCCCCAAATCTCATTATATAGATAGCACAGAGAACATACAGGAGTCTGAAGAATAACAAAAGAGTAAGAACGTTGGGCCCATTGACTCTGCTGCTTCTATGATTCCTTGGTGCTCTTACATTTTAGGAACAGGAAGCCAAATACATCCCTGGCCTGACTCCAGTGAGTTCAGTAGAGTTACACAAGGTATGAATTTGGCTCACTAGGTTTGTGTCTGTTGTGTTTAGCTATACGCTTTCCTTTTTTTACACTTTATTTCCATGTCTTTGACGTTTCCCAGAACAGCTCTTGTTTACTGTCAGCTTCAATTAAGGATCTTATGGAAGTACTTCTTTTCATATTGAATAAGCTCAGCAGGCCTTTCCATCCAGCTCTGACCAGCATTACAGCTCAGCTACTCACTGCAATTCATTTCTTTTTGAATTTTTAAGTAAAATTAGAAGCTGTGGGCAAAATGTGATCAACTGTTCTGAAATCCTTGCATATCAATAAACAGTTGGAAGTGTTTATGTTCATTGTAGTATCATGTGAGCAACACTGAATACGGATAGAACAGCCCTACCATTCATGCACAGAAGCTAGCCCTTATCAGTAGCATTATGACTGTATGCAGCACAAGCCTGGCCCTCACACGTGTATGCCACCCAATACCAACACTAGAGCATTGTGACTTTCCGCCCCACCACGTTAGGGCAGTTGGAAAGGCGGGATGGCTAACTAGCGCTGGGGCTATTGCACTGCTTCTCAGTGTAGATTAGATCCCAATGTAGATTAAGTCCCAAATTAAGGTGAAATAAAAAATAAATCTTAGAACATAAGAATTGCCATATTGGGTCAGATCAATAGTCTATCCCAGCATTCTGCCTTCTGACAGTGGTCAGTGTCATATGCTTCAGAGGGAATGAACAGAACGGGACAATTTTGAGTGATCCATCACCGTCATCCAGTCCCAGCATTTGGCAGTCAGAGGCTTAGGGACATTTGGATCATGGGGTTGCATCCCTGACCATCTTGGTTAATAGCCATTGATGGGCCTATCCTCGAATTTATCTATTCCTTTAACTCAGTTTTACTCTGGGCTTTTACAACATTTCCTGGGAATGAGTTGCACAGGTTGTCTGTGCAATGTGTGAAGCAACAACTTCTTTCCCCTTGTTTTAAACCTGCTGCCTATTAATTCATATCCCCCATCCGTCATCTCTTTTGTAAGATGAACAGTCCCAGACTTTTTTAATCTCTCCTCATACAGAAGCTGTTCCATACCCCTAATAATTTTTGTTGCCCTTCTCTGCTCCTTTTCCATCTAACCCTTGCTTGTTACACTGGATAGATCTTTGGCAAATGGCATCATTTTGTGGGTGCCTGATGTTGTTAGTTCTGCCTCAGCGCGGGGGACAGGACTAGATGAGCTATCAAGGTCCCTTCCAGTCCTACATTTCTATGATTATGAGTGAAATAATTGGTTCATCAGTTTTCATTCCTTTTTAGGTTTCTAAAATTAAAACTGATCATACTACAAAAATCTGACATGCATTTCCCCCCTTCCCCTCCCAAACTGGTCTGGTACTCAAATCTTCCCTGGAGTTCAAGGGTGGACTCGTAGAGGTGCAGCTACCTGGGTGTGAGAGCGAGCTACCTGGGCACTTCCTTCCCTCCCCACTTAATTTCTATGGAGATCCATCTCCCTTAGGCCAGGGAGAGATGGAGGACAGGGCCTGTGTCTTTTGGTGTGGGGATGGCGGTGTTGGTATCCCTGCCCTCCCGTCTGACTCACTTTGGCAGTGAGGGCATCACAGGTGCCTTTGTGTCCTCCACACCCAATTACTGCACTGTTTGGTAGGAATTGTTTGTTACTACCCCCTTGTCATAAGGCTGCCTCTCCTGGAAGCACCCCCTGCCCAGAGCATGCCTGCCTCCGGTTCCCAAATCAGATAACTAAAGACTGTACACAGGCTCTCTTGCTTGAATAATACATCACTTGGGAGCCAGGTTATTACAAAACATACTGCAAATCAGCCCATAACCAAAGTCCCCAAACACAGTCCATATCCACACCCAGTGCATGTAGTCCTTAAAACCCTGGTCTTCCCTGCATGAACCCCAAAAGCCTCTCTACTGGGAGATCATCTTTACCAGGGAAGCATCCCTCACTTCCTCCTTGCCCTCTCACAGTTCGTTGGGGTCCAGCTCTCCAGTCCTGGAAACATCAGCAGATAAGCTCCTCCACTGATCCTCCTACTTCAGCTCTCTCTGGCCCTTGGCTTTGGCTTTCTAGATTACAGCCAGCAGGCATCTCCCTCTACTGCTCACTGGCCTTCAGCCCTAGCTCTCTGGCTTGGGGATGCCAACTAGCAAATACCTCTTGCTGCTCTCCTACCTTCAGCCTTCTGCCTGGAACCACAATCAATCTTCTGGCTCTGGCAGCTCTCATCTCCTGCCCTTCTCCTGAATGACCCAGGCAGCTCTGACTCCCCATGTCTCTTGCTCAGGTCACCGAGTCTCTTTGTAGCCCCAGGTATTGCCTTGCCTCCTTCATTGGTCAAACGGGAGCACCAGCAAATACAGTAAAGCTGTTACCTATGCTTGAGCATTCCTTTGTCACTGATCATCTCTTTACTGAAAAGTGAGTGTCAGGTGTAGTTATGGCCCAATATGGGTGTACATTTTTTTAATGGGGGGATTTAGGGCTTCTGGGCAGGGCCATCCTTCCCATCCCAAAAATAAGCTTTGTGCCCTGTTGACATCTGAGGGGGAATCTATGGTAGAAATAGCAGGAGATGGCACCAGGAGGCAGCTAGGCTGCTGAACTAGCCAGGGACAAAAAAAACAGAGACCTCTCCACCAGTCTGCTACATCTTCAATAGGTTCAACTGATAGCACTTTTTACCTTTAAATAAAAAAACACTCAGAGTGGGCTGAAATCATAACACTTTTTTTGGCTAAAGAAGCAAAGAAAAAGCCAGACACATTTAATATTTCACTTTATTAAAGCCACTCTGTTTCAAGGCATCTTATTTTATATCTGCTCTCTCTCTCTCTCTCTCTCTCCTTGTATCTTTAAACCAGATCAAAAAGAGAAAGTAAATTGTAAGTGTTAAGACCATGATGATCTGCAATGTTGGCCCCTATAACCAGAGCTTATGCTCTGACCAAGTTCATTCAAAGGCACTGATTTTCCCAAATCATGTCTAATTTTGATCAACAGACAAAAAAGAAAAGAAAAGAAAAGAAAGAAAACCAGACATAATGCAAAACAGATTCCAGTTGTACACTTGATTATTAAATTGGTTTCTTTCTTTTAGAGCTGCCTGAAAACATCTGAGTAAGAGTTAACTTGGAGCTCGCCAACACACAAACCTTCTCTTTCTTTGGCTTCTATTTGAAATCTTTGATTTGGACACAAGATATTAAGTTACTTCAATACCAGCCAGTTTTGTTGATCTTGTGCCTAGGAATGTCACACAACATTGTGTCTGAGTGGAGGCTGTGACATTTGAAAGTGAGTAGACAAAAGTGATTTGTAAAGCTGTGGTCAGAGCCATCTCTAAACAGGGTGGGGAAAGATTACCCCAGAAGAACCTCTTGCACAGCACTGTGCGTATATCTTTCGGAGCATGTAACAGCTGCATTTAGGTCTGAGGACCAGCCATCCAGGTGAAACTGTATCCAATTCTCTTTAAAAAACACTGAAGTGTATCCATTGCAACAGCAAGAGTTAAGCCATACAGCTCCTCATCAATTTAAACAGGAGTCATGCAGCCAAATTGTTGCACCTTATTCTGAATACAGACACTGTCATGATGAAATAAGTAAACACAGGAGACACAAGTTCTGCCTCTGGACCAAGTGAAAAACAGGTGAGTCACAGCAGCTGAAAACTGAATGCTTCTGTTCCACCCTTTAAATTCCTCCATTATGAGTTTAAAACAAATTGGAGATTTCTATGTTCAGTTCTCATCTACTTTGATATCAAGAAAATAGATTATACATTGAGCCTGAAACTAGAATCCTTACTCACAGAAGTAGACCTTACTCTCAGAAGTTGCCCTTGCAAGAGCAGGTTCTATTTGATTCACATTACCTGATGTTTGGTTATGGAAATGAAAGTTCTCTAGTGTCTAAATCATATTGTAAGCCACATTTTTAGAAGTATCTCAAATGGCTCATACAACATAAAACACTAATTGCATTGGCTAAGGAAGTAAATACATCCCTGGCTACCAGTTTGTATGTGCAGTTCTAAAAGATCTCTTGGAAAACTGGTCCTGTATGTGTGAAAATAGAAAAATTTTAAAGGTATAAATTTTGAAACAAAAGAGAAGATATATAATTTTATTGCCAATTCTTCTGCCTATAACCACATGGAGTAACACGGTAAAACAATGACTCTGTAACTGAGGGAAAACAACTGAAAGAAACTACAAAGATTTTTTTAAAAACCTTGGAAATTTTATTGCACAAAATCTGTGGTGGAAGTTCAAGGAAATCCTTGGTTGGTAAAACAAACAAACAACAATAACAAGAGGAAAAAATAAGAGGTAATAGCAAAAGTTGAGGCTTCCTAGCAGTTACACCATTATCTGTGAACTTTCTGAAAGCTGCTGACAGAGCTTTGGCATATGATCATCTCCTAACTGCTGATTAACACAGTGCTGTTTTATATTTAACTCAGAGCAGAGCAAGAGGAGTAGGGGGTGGGGCTGAACTGCTTATAAGGAGAGTAGAGTAGTAACAGTATTCTTCTGTGTCAGTTTCCTCTGTCTTCCTCCACAGCTGCACTCCTCTGGATCAGCCACTTTTCCTCTGGTTCAGATGAGTGCTATCTTTAATTAATTGAGTGCATGGTGGAAGGAGAGGTGGGAGAAACAGACTGAAAGGCTATAAATACACCATTAAAATACAAACCAAATCTGCTGGGCTTACTAAAAACAAGCAGCGCGGAGGAGCTTAATAAGCCTTTTTACAGCTAACGTTTAGCTTTGAAAGAAGACAGGGGAGCAAAGATGCAGGGAATGGATTTTGAGGATAAGAAGTCCAAGAGGTATTGCATGAAGAAAAAGCATGTGGCCATCATCTGTGCAGTAGTGGCTGCAATAGGTTTAGCTGTGGGACTTGGCGTGGGATTAAGCAGACCTGAGCCTTGCCAACCTTCCGGAGGGACAGAACAGCCAGCAACCACTACCCCTGGGACAGTAGAGCCACACCACTGCCCTCCCAAAAATGATGCGAGTGGAGAATGGATAAATTTCAGGCTACCCACTTACATTAACCCAGAACACTACGAGCTGGAAATGAAACCTGAGATGGATGCAGATATCTACACAGGGACAGTCAACATCTCCATCAAGTTGGATAAACCTACCAAGTACTTGTGGCTTCACCTCCGAGCGATCAAGATCACAGAGATGCCCATGCTCTGGAAAGCCTCGGGGCAGCAGATTGCACTGACAGAGTGTTTTGAATATGAACAACACGAATATGTGGTGATGGGGGCAAAAGACATGCTCTCTGCTACTACTGAAAATGACACCTATCTACTAACCCTGAAGTTCCAAGGCTGGCTGAATGGCTCCCTGGTTGGATTTTATAGAACCACCTACACTGAGAATGGAGTGACCAAGTAAACCAATTTTTTTCAAACGTTGACTTGCACATCTATTTCTACTTGCTCAGACCTGTTCTGTCCCTTTCTCACTTTCTCTCTGTCACCAAATTGCTATATTTCTGGGCTTTCTTTTAATTTTCCTTGTTCCCCCAGGAAGGTACAGCATTAAGAATGCCAAAGCAGTCTCTGGGCGGCTGCTTACAAGGAAATATGGGTTAGAGTTTTTATTCTGAAAAACATTTTGGAACTCTACTGCGCATAGTCTATCCCTGATCTTTGCAAACTCACATCTGGGAGTTGTATGCAGGGACTGAGTCCTATCTGTTGCTTTATATGTGTAGTCTGGTACATAACATGCAGCTCTGTATGTTGTTTTCTATCATTCCCCAAAGTAAGAGCCTTTCAGTGAAATGCTAACTAACTAGGATTGTGGTAGCTTTTTTGACATAACCGCTTTGATGTTGTAAGCAAAAGGAATGTCAGAATCAGAGCTCCACTTTTCCTTCCCCGGCTGGTTTAAATTACACATATGCAGGTTTGAAATTTGGAGGATATCTATGATTTGACATATTTCTGCTCCAGCACATCCCTTGTAATGAGACCAATGGTTGCAAAGGTTTAGCCACAATTAAAGAACCAAAATGTATGTACTTTTCATGGTTCAATTAACCCTTTCCCTGCCTCAGATCTCCACTACTTCAAAGGTAGGGCTTGAAAAATCTGCTAGCCAGTGCTAAGTGGCAAACTTTCCCTGGTGAGTATGTGTTAGGAAAGGGGCACTAAAACCATCACTTTCTTTTACATTTCTGACTTAATTTTTTAAAAGTGACATTTCCAGCCCTGATACATAGAAGATAACCTGGAAAATGCAGACAGGCTGTTGGAATACCTCCTAGCTTTCCTGAACAGCAGCAGAGTGAAATTAACAACTCTAGTCAGTTTTCATTGTTGCTATTCAGAACTCTGGGGTGCAACAGGCAAGAGTTATGTCACCTTCACTCTGCTGCTGACTGGCAATACCATGAGCAAAAGCAGAGGCAGGCACTGGCAAGGGAGGATGCAAGGGCAGAGAGAAGAGCAAAGGTCAACTGGGTCCCTGCCCCATACCTATATAAATGGGTTGCAGCAGCAATTTGATCTAAGAGGGAGCCATATGGGGAGCATCTGAGCCCCCAGTTGGCTCTTCAGCTCTATTCCCTCGCTACCAACCATATGCAGCTCCTCTGTTATCAATCTAGATAAGGTTCTTATGGCCCTAGCATCTAACAGCCTCATAATCATTAACACATTTAGTCTCACAACACCCCTGTAAAGTAGGGCATTGTTATTTCTAGTTTATTGAGGGGGAGAGAGAGAAAAGTGACTTGCCCAAGGTAACACAAGAAATCTGTCAGAGAATCAGGGACAAAACCCAGATTTCCTAAAGCCCGGTTCAGGGTCTTCACCACAAGCTCATCTTTCATCCCACCCTTCTGTCAGCCACCAGGCCTCAGTTTCAGAAATAGGAGGGAAAGGTGGAACAGCAGCTCAAACGTGAAAGCTGGAGGCATCCTGTCTTCATAGCAAGTGTGTGTAGCAAATGGTGGGAAGGGGATATGTGTATGTGTGTGTATGGTTATTGGAGACAAAAAACTGTTAAAAGGCCATTATTAAGGTTGCAAAGTCAAACACTAACATGTTCAGAAATACCTAAACTAAAGATGCCTGCGTAACCTTAATTCTGGCCCTTGTTTGTATTCATTAGGATAGTCTTTAATTACAGCATTACATACTATTTTTCCACAGAACCACTGCCTCATTCAGTAGACAGTGGGGATGGTGCTCAATTAATGAGCAGTTATTCATTATTTTGTCTTCTTCTCATCATTCCAGGTGTTGCCCTAGGCCTTATTTATTGCACACTATTCAAACCCTGCTCTAGAGATGGAATTATTAAATTTCCTCCTGGGTGTTTCTATGGCACTCATCACTATTGTATCCACAGGCTTCACAAACATTAATGAGTTTACCTTCACAACACTCCTGTAAATGAAGGGATATTGCTATTCTAATTTTACAGATGGGGTACTGAGGCACAGAGAAATTAAGGTCAAAAGTACTCACTACTTTGAAGTGATAGCAGTATCTGATTTTTTGCAGTGTATGTAGCATTACATTGCATTTTATATATATTTAAGGACAGCTCCCTGTGACCTCAGTTGCAGCTGGGAGTTCTCAGCACTTCTGCACATTAGATACCAGGGTTTCAAGTGAAGCACCATTATTGAACACCTGTGAAAAGTTTGGTTTAACTGATTTTCCTAGCATGACCAGGAACTTTGTGGCAGAGGAAGGGATACATTTCTATTCTCTAGGACAGCATGCCTTAACCACAAGACCGTCCATCCTCTTCTTACAATCTCTCTGCCTCAATCATTATACACCTTCCAACATCAGCAATAAATCAGGCAGGGATCCTACAGACAAGTCTCCTTCATTATACAACCCTGGTTCATTCCAGATCTATTTGTGCAGAGGTCCTCCGGAAAAAATAGTATCTGAGCATGTAATTTAAGATGATCATAATGCATATGAACAAGACATCTGAATTAGGTTGCACAGGCAATCTTAATTCTGGCATTTCCTAACTTTTGAGTACTTGACTTTGCAACCTTAATAATATTTCTTTAATGTAGCTTTGTCTGTGTAATCTCCTAAGTTTTTAAAAAAGCAAATTGAAAAGCAAGTGAACAGAAATTCCAACATGTGGAATCATATTGACACTCACATGGTTCATCAGCAGGGTTGGAAGCTTTAGATCCACCACACAGATGTCTGCCATTTAGGCCGAATAACTGATCGCAGTAGTAGATTGTCCTCCTTTATGTGGACCAGCACTAGAGGGGGATGAGACACATTTTACCAGTGGCTTTCACAGATATTTGCTGATGGCAGAGGAATGGTGAGGCTCAGGGATCTTGGGTTTCATTCCAGGCTCTGGAGGGAAGCGTGCTCACGTGGGTACACAGTCTTTTGTTTATCCCCCCCCTTGCTGGATTTTTTCTGTTCTGTCCTCTTCAATTTGTCCCTGTCCCAGTGCTGTCTCCCCCCCTCTCCATGGCCTCTTGTACCAGTCTCATTCTCTTCACCTATTCAGTCCCAGTCTCCTTGCCAAGCTAGTTTCTCTAGTTTCTCTCTGCACTCCCCATCCCAGTCTCTCCACCTCCACTCCCAGTCTTCCCCATAGCATGAACAGTTCCAGTCTCCTGACCCAACAATTCCCCATTTCTCCCTTCTGGTTCCTCATCTAATCTGTTTTTCTCCCTCCATTTTCTCCATCTCCATAAGCTTTCAGTCCCAGTCTCTCTTCCTGGGCTCCTAGTTCAATCTCAGTGTCCCTCCACTCATATCCCCCTTTATCCTTGCCCCAGTCATTCCCCCACATTCTGGTTTCTAGTCAGATCTGCCTTTCCTCACCCTGACTTTCTCCTACTAGCTTCACTGCTTGCCAGTCCCAATCCCTCCACCCCGGCCCAGCCAGTCCCAGTCTACCCACCCAACTCCCAGTTTCTTTCTCCTCTCCCCTCACCATAAGCCTACAGTTTCAGTCTCACCACAAAAGGTTCCTTGGCCCAATATAATCTCCAGATTTCCCCTCAGGTCCAACTCTTGTCCCCTCTGCATTCAAATCAGGCTGCTTCCTCTTCCATGTCAACTGTGCCCGGGGGTGGGGTCAAGGGTTTGAGTGGGTATTGAGAGCACACAAAAGACAGGCTTTCTGCTCTACGTTCAGGTACCCAACCTCCACATGGGCCTCAGTAGCCCAGAGCTGTAATTGCAGGGAAAGTTCTGCTCAGCCCTTGGCTACAGCATGCCCAATGCAGATGAAATCTTCAGTGAATTTAGTGGCCAAACTCTAACAAACCACTATGGAACATAGGCAAAGTGTGATATTTCAAAGGTTTATAAACTTGACCAAATTTGGGAAGATTTTCATGGGCATGGCACAGTCCAGACACAAAATTTGTCCAGACATAGTCCAGACACCCCCTACCAAAATTTCAAATCCCTCCTCCAGAGAATGCAGGCACTAAAGATTCACGAAGGAAAAAGCACCAGAATTGTTTAACATGGGCAAACAACTTATTTTCCCCTCACCTTGTTCTCAGAAGCAAGTAACTGAACTATTTTGACTGAAATTTTCAGTAAAACTTCAGCCTGAGGTAGACACCTGTTGTGGAAGATTTTAGCTCAAATGATAAAAGTTTGGCAATGTTAGAAGCAAGTGAAAACACCTCTTATCGTGGGAAGAATTGGGCAACATTAATAATAGGCAGTGCTACCAGCCCAGCCTATATTATGAGAGAGAGAGGTGGGGACTCAGCCAGCTGGCAATTAGCTTTCCTCTTGAACAGTCTCAGAAGCTGTGGGACCTGGTTGCTGATGGAGAAGAGGAAGACTGGCAGGGAGGAGGAGGAGGTGGAGTGGAAAAAGCCGTCTGGAGAGCTGCTTCTGCCAGGGCAAAGGATTGCTTAAGCATTGCCGCAGGCCCTTTTCTTGATACACTGGGCACTGGTCCAGATTTTACTGTCCCTTGGATCCATCTCTGGTTTTATTCATTCACCAGAGGGCAATGTTAGGTCCTAGAGGAAGGATGATTCAGTGGTTTGGGGACTAGCCTGTGGACTTGGGAAACCAGGGTTTAATGCTCTTCTTTGTCATGGACTTCCACTATGACACTCAGCTTCTCTGCGCGTCATCTGTAAAATGGGGATAATAGCACTTCCGAACCTCACAGGGTTGTGGTGAGGATAAGTACAACAAACAGATTGTGAGGTGCTCAGATATGAGGATAACGAGGTCCATAAAAGTACCAAATAAGCGTCAGACTAGAGTGTGACAGATTTTTCAGTCCTCAGCTGCCATCAAGAGATGTGAAATAACTCCAGTTTCTTTTCTTCTGGTATTACTGAGGATACAGATGGGCAAGGCAGCTGTGTCTTGGCTTTGCATAACTAAAATCTGGCTCAAATGTGAGTCCCCTTTTATTCCAACCACTGAAGTGAAGCATTGTGTGGGTGTGGAAGGGGCTCAAATGGTGCTCGTTTGGGCACATCTCCAGCTGATAAGGAAGCTGGTATTCCTGGTTTTGTTGGTTGCACAGATGTGAAATAGAGAAAATTCAAGGAGAGAATGGAAAACTATTTAAAAAGGAAGCCAAGGCATTTGCTGCAGGCAGAAAACACATTTTGCCATGACTGTGTATCCCTTGCTAAAGTGCCAAAATTTCCCTGGGAAAGTGATGAATCTATGTTTGCAAAAAAAAAGGATGAAAATCCATTACTTAACTGAGGGAGACAAAAATTTCTCCCTTTTTAATGAAAATCTGTGTATGCTTAGCAAAAAATGGTAATTTATCATCACTCTAAACGTAGCAATGTTTTATTTTGGGAACAACAGCTGCATGTGGTCAGACAGATCTCTTAATATTCCTGGTATATTTACAACTTTGTCGCTTCTGGTTCATGTTTTAAAAACCTGGAGATCAACAGAAATTGCAGGGACACAATCCACCTTATAAAAAAGGGAAGGTTTTTATCTCAAAACCAAGTTATACAATATTTCATTTTTTCTTTAATTACCACTTGTTTGCACAGGAGGATGCCCTGGTCTAGAGATCTCTGAATCAATCCCCATGAATTGTGGCATTGAGACATTGCGTCACTGGTGTTTGTCTGCCCACCACAAATGCATGAGGATATATGGTTTATATCACCTTATAAATCAGTGTAAAGTTTCTTGTGTTATCAGTCTTGAGGAACATGGATAGAAGTGTGTCTAAATATACAGCAATTTTTTAAAGCAACAACTGTAAAACATTGCCCAGGGAATTGAAGTTAACTTGGTTGTTAAATATCTTCTAAACCCTACAAAGAGGAGAACAGGACATCAAACATCTTACAAAGCAGAAGAAACTACATTAAGTCTAAGCTATTTTGAGAGGTTTAAATAAGGTGATGTTTATGACACTTCCTCCCCCAAGACCGTGAATTCAAGGCATTTAAGTGACTGTCCAAATGAATATGAATAGTAAAAATCGAGATGTATTATCTCCTCAGACTTCTACATGAACCTTGCTGCTACTACAGTTTTTAATGACCATTTTAGTATTTAACCATCATAGGGGAAAGCCAAAGGCAACAAAAACGCTGAAAAATTGGCTGTCAGGTGAACTTGTGATGGTGGTAAAGATCTATAATTTATTATGAGTATTTTTGATTACTTTTTTGGGAAAGAACAAACAAAAAAATCCATTCCTTACCCTAATGTAGCTTGAGCAGCTGTAGCAATGCTGTGAGAAAATGCACCACATTCCAAATTAATTGAAGAGATATCAGAGATGCATTCCCCCACCAATCAGAACAAAGAGCATGCTCCATCCCTGAACAGCATGCTTACAGGAGAAAACTTGATTTCATGTAGGAGGATGTTTCATACAAGCCTTGGCAATGTTTTCTAAATGATCCCAATTTGCAACAATTCCCTTAGTCATGTCTATGTAAGAGAGCCTACTTCACTTCCAAGCTAAAACACGCAAACACACTGTGGCACTGATTTGTCATTAGATGTTCTACCCAATTTCAAACATTTCATGTCAGTACACAACTCATCAGTGGAGTCAGTAAAGTTTAGCAGCATTGGCAGGCAGGTGTACAGGGTAACCTCCAAGTGATAAATGCCTATAACAAGAAAGTGCTGTGCAGGCAGCTTCACTGTTTTGCGGGGGTGTGATTAAGCAATCACTCAGAAGCTTTTGAAGATGTCTTTCCAGGAGTAGCTCAGGTCCTGAACCTGTATTGAGCTCCAGGAAGCCCCAATCAGTGAAGCTTCCTATAGGCAGAGCAGTCCATTCATTCAGAGCTCATCGCTAGATTAGGGCCTGAGTTTCCTTTTAGTTGATGACATTACTAATGTTTACTAATATGAAGTCAATGGGATTACTCACATTGAGCAGGATTTCCCCTTACTATGGGAGGAACTACTTGTGTTTTACTTTTCCTGCTCTTAAAAAATATTAAGCACGTCCTCCATTTGTGATTAGCAGTTTTACTTGTTTTTTGTTAAAAAACAAGTACTGGTTGTGACTTCTAGGAGCCTTAGAATATTTGTGGGTTATAAATATTTAAGTTGTATCTTCATAAAAAGACCACTGACAATAAAACTTGCTAGTTCTACTACAGTTTGCAGTCTTAACAAACGATTATGCATGGAAATACATGGAAATAACAAAGAATGGCTACCATGAAGGCTTAGGACAATGCAACAATTTTTTTGTTTATTTTAAAGGAGCATAGCAGCTACTGATCATGAGCCAACAGATGCACGGAAGTCGTTTCCTTGCTTTGATGAGCCAAACAAAAAGGCAACTTACACCATATCTATCATCCATAAAGAACCATACAAAGCACTTGCAAACATGCCAGTAAAGGTATGTATTTCACAAATGTACTACATAAGTATAATGATTCTGTAAAACAAACATAAGAGTAATTCAAATCTAAACACCCTGGTGTGTTAACAGATCATTTGTCATTTCAGAAGTTATACAGCTTTAGGTTAAATAAGATTTATATAAAATAGGACTGGTTGTTTAGTTATCATTCCTAGTTGTGTATTACTGGCCACCAAGGCTTTAACAGTAGAACATAACACAGCAATGCCAATCCCAATGCAGGAGAGAATCACCATTTTCTCGTTAGCTGCCTATCCCTGAGCTTCCACATGCACAGATATTGTAGACTTGCCTCCCCTACTGGACATATATAAATTATACACAGTGGTGTTGTAGCCATGTTGGTTCAAGGATATTCAAGACACAAGGTGGGAAGGGTAATATCTTTTATTGGACCAACTGCTGTTGGTGAGAGAGAGAAAGCTTTCGAGCTTACACAGAGCTGACAAAGAGCTACAGAGGGATCTCACAGAAATGGTGACTGGGCAACAAAATGGCAGATGCAATTCAGTGTTGATAAGTACAAAGTAATGCACATATTTAATGATGGGTTCTAAATTAGCTATTATCACTCAAGAAAAATCTTGGAGTCACAGTGGATAGTTCTCAGAAAACTTCTACTCAGTGTGCAGCAGCAGTCAAAAAGGCTAACAGAATGTTAGGAACTATTAGGAAAGGGATAGAAATTAAGACAGAAAATATGATAATGCCACTATATAATCCATGATGAACCCACACTTTGAATACTGTGTCCGGTTCTGGTAGCCCTATCTCAGAAAGGATATAGTGGAACTGGAAAAGGTTCAGAGAAGGGAAACAAAGATGAGCAAGGGTTTGGACTACTTCTATGTGAGGAGAGACTAAAAAGATTAGGATTGTTGATCTGAGAAAGGAGACAACGAAGTGGGGATATGATAGCTGCATATAAAATCATGAATGATGTAGAAAAGTGAATAGAGAATGTTATTTACTCTTTCCTACAATACAAGAACCAGGGGTCACCCCATAAAATTAATAGGTGGCAGATTTTATACAAACAAGAGGAAGTATTTTTTCATGCACACACAACTAACTTGTGGAATTCCATTGCCATAGGATGTTTTGATGGCCAAAAGTATAACTGGGTTCAGAAAAGAACTAGATAAATTCATGGAGGATAGGTCCATCAATGGCTATTAACCAGAATGGACAGGGACACAACCTCATGCTTCAGGGTGACCCTAAACTTCTGACTACCAGAAGCCATGAGTGGAAGATACGGAGTGATCCACCCTTAACTGCCCTGTTCTGTACACTCTCCCTGAAGCTCTGGTATGGACTACCAGCAGACACGGGCAACTGGGCAAAATGGACCATGGTTTACCCAGTATGGTAGCTCTTGTGTTTTTATATGCTAAAAATACACCTTTTTTTCTGAGTGTAGACATGGCTTAGAAACTTACTGATGTTTTTTATGGACTACTCCATTTTTGTAGGAAATGCTGATGGAGTTTCTAGGAGCAATTTGAGTAAGTTGAAAGTAGAAGCACAGTTAACATATTTTGGAAAAGTGTTCAAAGCATAAAAGACTGAATGGAAGGTTCTACAAAAGGATTTGACTGATCAATTATTTTGCACTGAATCTGTGAAATTTACTTTTGAAAGAACAGGGGAAACGGTGATTTCATTTGAATGTTTCTTTGAGATTATGGGTGTATTCAGTCTTAAAAACTCAAAGGGATATTGGGGACTGGAGATATCAGAACAGAGCTGCTTGAATAATGGGAAAAAACAGATTTGTGACTATATAAATAATTTACTTTAATTTGTTTCACTCTTGCTTATGCTATCAAAACATCTATTATTCATGTAAAGGCTGCTATTCACAAAAATCTCAGAAGTTTATTATATTTTTACTGTAGCAGTGGTTCTCAACTGTGGTCCACCACTTGTTCAGGGAAAGCCCCTGGCGCACTGGGCCAGTTTGTTTACCTGCCGCGTCTGCAGGTTCGGCTGATCGCAGCTCCCATTGGCCGCAGTTCGCCACTCCAGGCCAATAGGGGCTGCGGGAAGCAGCGCGGGCCGAGGGATGTGCTGACCGCCCTTCCTGCAGCCCCCATTGGCCTGGAGCAGTGAACCGCGGCCAGAGGGAGCCATGATCCACCGAACCTGCGGACGCAGCAGGTAAACAAACCGTCCTGGTACACCAGGGGCTTTCCCTGAACAAGCGGTGGACCACAGTTGAGAACCACTGTACTTATAGGTATAGTATCTATTATTTGTCATTGGCTATTTTACTTTTATAGAGAGGCATCCAACCAGGGATATATATACCACATGACCAGTAACAAATAACAAACAGTTGAAGTAATTTGTCCACACTATTCAGCAAATATTTAAGAATACCAAGTACATTTGCTAAAATCAGGACAGGCTTGCAATGGATTAACAAACCAAAAATCTGGCCAGCTCTAAAAAACAAAAGGGTGTTTGAACAACCCCTTACAAAGCAAACCCAGCAAGGTTTACAGCACTAATTACTACTGAAAGAAATTGGACTGGATTCAGTGGACTAAATTCTGCCCTCAGTTACATCTGTACTACCTCACTAGCTTCAGGAATGTTGCACAGGTTTAAAGGAGGGCATAGTTTGACCCATTCTTTAATTTCTCCAACATTTTGGTTTTATGGAGCCATTTCAAGAAGGCTAGCTAGAAAACACATTAACCAGGGCTCAAGCATATTGAAAAACTCATCCAAACAAGAGTATATAAGCAAAGACATGCACGGTTTGATTTCTTAATGCAAACAGCTAGAAATAAGAAAACTCATTCTTAGTGCATAAAAACAAAGCCCCATCATATGCATTCCACCTTTAAGAAAAAAATCACTTTGCATGTTCCCATTCCATGAGCTGTGTAAAGCCAGAGACACAATTCGTCATTCCTATAGCTCTAGTTTATATATGAATATTTTACTCTTTTATGCACATGTTTGCAGTTTCACAAGGTAAGAATTATTTTTCTCCTTCTTCAGCAAACGGTTCAACTGCTTGATGGCTGGAACAGGACAACTTTTCAGAAATCTGTCCCAATGAGCACTTATTTGGTGTGCTTTGCTGTGCACCAGTTTGATTGGGTAGAAAGAAAGTCTGCCAGTGGAATTCCTGTAAGTCCAATTTTAATTCTGAACATATTCCAGATGCAAGTTTTAAAAAACATAAATCAGCTTTTCATATTGTATTGCTTAATCTTCCCATTCTTATGGCCTGTGTTCTGCAGGAAGTCAAACTGCATGATCAAAATAGTCCCTTCTGGCCTTAAAAGCTGTGAATCTATGTGGACCTCATGTCTCTCTTGCTTATTAATCAACAACGTTGAAAAACTTGAGTCATAGCAATGCTTTGTTATATAAAAAAGCATAGTGTACAGTTATTAATTATATTACAGTCATGCCCCCAACCAGAGTAGGAATGATGCATGTTAAAAAGAGACAGTCCCTGCCCTGAAGGGCTGGAACTTCAGTCCTCTGAGCTGAGTATGTTTGGATTTGAATCCACAAATCTGAACTGGCTCCTACAATTTTGGTTCCAGATTGTATCCAAAAGAGTAAGAAGTCTGTTTTCCAGTTTTGATTTGGATTCAGCCAAAATCTTACAAGAATGGCTAGTCTCATGAGATTTTTACTATTCAAAAACTTGTGGGTGGAGTTCATAAGATTTTACCAGAGTTGTTGAATCTGAAGGTGAAATCCTAGCCATGAGTTAGCCTTTCACTCAACCTCCTTATTGAGCCTGAACTTAATCTGGAATGTTCAACCCCTGTTAACTAGTTATTTGTCTAAGTTTTTCAATGTGAGACAGAAAAATTCTTCCAGTGGGGTGCTGTTGTTAGTTCCCTTCTCTTCTAAGAATCAGAGAACACACTTTGTAGGAAGGATGTTTTAACAATTTGTTCAGGCTAATTTATTACTGTTCAAGAGAAAATATTGTGTAATGACTGGGAATCCAGATTTCTGGATTATATTCCCAACACTGCCATTGACTCACAGTGTGACCTTCTGTGGGTAAGTCAGTACTTTGCCTCAGTGTCCCAATCTGCAAATCAATCCTTCCTACGTTTTAGGGTTTTCACAAAAATCCCAGAGGTCTCACCCCACTGCTTAGCAAAGATCTAATAGCACAGTGCTGTGCTGAGGTCTCCTTGCTCTAAAACGTTATGTATTTGTCCATCTTTGCGCATGCAGTGTTGGATCACAAATTAAAACTGCACTATGTTTGTCTAAATACGTGACCAGAGTACATTTTGCGATGTGAAGCAGTATCCTTGATTTTTTTTAAAATTTGTGTTTGTTTGTTTAGTTGCAAATCTAAGTCATAAACTGTGATAATCAGCAAGGGGCCTCCAAACCTTTCGACCAAGGTGCTACTGTGGTTCTCAGATAGGCTGCTCCACTTGTTTTCAGTGTCAGGATTATGTTTATCTAGCCTAGACACATACACTCTAGAGCTTAATCATGTACACGATCAGAATTTGCATGGGTCTTTTGCAAAATGTATTCAGGGAAAAAGAAATGGAATGCTGCAACTGCACACAAAGTCATTCTTTTGTATACACAAAAGCCCTCCCATTCTACGTTCAGCTACCACACTCTAGACTGTGAGTTAGGGATTGACCTTGATTGTTTCAAAAGGGAATATTAAAGGCAGAAAAGATATAGTACAATTGTAGCTTTTGTGAATAAAAGTGAATATCTACAAGTTATAAATAAATACATACCTCACTCTTATATAGCACTTTAAAGTGTGTATATTAGGGGAGGGGATGTTAATACCAGCACAGAGTTTGCATGAAGAATCCCCATCTAGTTTGGGCTATAGTTCTTACACATTTTATTTATGTTAGTCAATAAGAATGCCTAAAGGTTTTGGCTACACTAGAAAGTTTTGCTGCTTAGATGTAGTTAAAGCAGCAGCACCCCCTTAGTGTGGATGCAATTATACCGGTAAAAAAAAGTGCCAATACCAGAATAGCTTATTTCAGTTCTGGAAGCAGAATAAATTACACAAATGTAATGCACCTTTTTACCAATATCATTTTGCCCACCCTAGGCCTTTCACCAGTATAACTATTCCAGTTGGGGGGGGGGGGAATGAAGCACACTAAATTGAGTAAAGAGATTACTGAAGGGGAAGTTACAGACAGTAATTGCAAACCAACCCTCATGGAAATCCCCTGGTCTTGATGAAAACCCAATTAAATTTTAGAAGCTGTTTTTTTTTCCTTTCAGTTGTATTCCTCACCACTTTTTCCTGGAGAAAGCTTAACTTCATTGTACTGAAGCCTGTCAGCTGACAACCACGGCTCCTCACCGCAGGCCAACTCCTTTATCCAGTTCAAAGCCTAAATGTGGTCAGGATTTTTTTCAAAGGAATATTTTTTCCATCAGAAGATTCAGACTCATTGAAAGTGAATGTTTTTGTGGACACCTATAATTTTTGACTAACTTTCAACTGGAAGGTTTCTTGGATCCAGGATGGAATTTATGGTATGTGTGTGACAGTGCAAAAGAGAGAGGGGCAGACACCAGAATAACTAATAAGCCCAGTGGTCAGGGCACCCCCCTGGGATATGGAAGATCCACGTTCAAATCCCTGCCTGATTCAGAGCAGGAATTTGAAGCTAGGTTTTTCCACCTCCAAGGTGAGTGTCCTCACCACTGGACTATTGCTTATTCTGGGTTCTCTCTCTTTTAGTTTTGACCATAAATTCCATCCTGGACCCAAGAAACCTTCTAGACGAAAGCTTTGTCAGCACAAATACTTTTCTCAGAAAAGTTTTGATTTTGACAAATTTGCATTTTCTGAAGAAAACTGTTTCACCAAAAAATGCCCATCCAGCTCTAACTGTACATTTTTGAAGGAAAAAGTCCCTGGTCTCTTAAGCCTGAGGGATATTCCATTGCTAAACAGTAATACAAAATTAATTACCATGTGGCAGCGGCAGTTCCTGATCACAGATGGTGGGGGCATGAAAAATCAGCACTTGACATATCACTTTTCTCCTCTTCATTAAAAAATGTAATTCTAGATTTAAAATGTGCATGCATACACCTTAATATCCAACCATACTGCTCAGTTAATTGACTGGTCTGTAGTTTGCAGGTTATAATAAACAAATCCAAGTACGAAATATCACAGAACACGCATAAAGCCAAGAGCCTATCCTCATCATACCAGCTTTGGAATTTTCTATTCAAATATCACTCTTGCAAGCCAAGCTCTAAGCATGATACTTTGCAGATGGCTTAGCAGCTATCACGCATGCCTATGCCTACCTTACTACACTGCCATTCTATTTTTATAATATTAATGTCAACAGTCAGACAGAGTTTAGTCTACTAAAAGCAGTTTCCTACACTTACCTGAACCATGGGGCGGGGGGAGGGATAGCTCTGTGGTTTGAGCATTGGCCTGCTAAACCCAGGGTTGTGAGTTTAATCCTTGAGGGGGCCATTTAGGGATCTGGGGCAAAAATTGGGGATTGGTCCTGCTTTGAGCAGGGGGTTGGACTAGATGACCTCCTGAGATCCCTTCCAACCCTGATATTCTTCTAATCATGACAAGTTGAGAAACTGTCAGTGCAGAACAGGAGAGCTAGGGGTAACCAGAGCTGGGGAGAAAGGTGAAGGAAACAGAGCACACTTTACTATTACTTCAAAAAGGAACAATATCTATCCACTAAATGAAACATGCATATATAGAGAGATCAACGACTGTGTGATGTCCTGTCCCTTTAAATCTTCAGCGGACTCTGTACTCTCCTCCCTCCCACTCTCTCCATCCCCAAGTGCAAAGCTTTTGCTGCCAGAACAATAAAGCGACCACAGCAGAGAGTGTATGTCTATCAGCTCCCTCTGCATCTGTCAGTCTGTCTTGGTCTCCTTCTCTGCTGGCTCCAGAAGTATAACCATTTGACCATACCCTCCTGGGCCCAGAATGTGCCAGCTCCTTGATCCAATGCCCTGGAATACTAGGTTTCAATCCTGCACTGGTACATCTGTGTGGGGAAGGCGTTCCCTACCTCCTCTTCCCAGTACAGTGCACTTCTATAGCAGAGAGTTGTGGAATACAATTATGTACCCATTCTTGTTACAAGGAAACTCTAAAGATATCAAAAGACCAGAGGGAAAAAACCACCCTTTTTCCAACTGATCTTCTTTGAATGTTTATAGGGTCAGTTGCGCTGTTTTGTTGATAGTGAGTTGCAGTACTTCCCGTCTCATGCACTAGTCTTAGGAGAGCATGCATGCTTATTCTTTCTTAGAGGGTGTCTATCAGTAACAGCGGCAAAGCTTAAGAGTGTTAATTTGGGGAAGCTATCCCTTTAAAAAACTGAAAAGCATAGCTGATCTTCCAACAAATAAGTTTTCTAAATCTATTCAAATGTGATGTGATGGCTTCCACTAATTACAGGGAAATGGGGTCAAAGGTCAAATCCTAATTAATTTAAGCTGTGGTCAAAAGTCCAGATAGAATTTGTTGAAAGCAGAGGAGCAGACAGAAATATGGTTTAGCAAAATATAGGCTAGGTTTGTTCCTTAGTGTTACTTTTTACTTATACAGTATAACACCATAGATGTGAATGGTACCTTACAAAACAAGTAAAGGCAGAGTTCCCACCCAAAGATCTTGTAATCTAAGACTGGACAAAAAAAGGAAATGATAGAGTGAGAGTGGCTGGGAGGAATGAAGAAAATAAGCTCATAATGTTTCAAGAATGAATAGTGCACAGATTTTGGGGGGGTTACACATGGATTTAATCTATATATAAAGTTGACATTTCATAAACCTCCTCATATAAGTGGTTTAGACAAGGGTTTTATTGTTAGGTTTAATCTTCCAGAGAAGAAAAGTCAGCCATATTATCCTTGTCTTTGCTAAATGATTCCTCAGTGCTAAATATAATTTGATTTGTTTTGTCCAACTGGGATCTGCTCTAATTGTATTTCTCTGCTTTGTTTTACAGCTCCGGATATATGCACAGCCAAAGCAATTACACACAGCAGATTATGCAGCAAATGTTACTAAAGTTGTATTTGACTACTTTGAACGGTATTTTGATATGAAGTATTCTCTTCCAAAATTAGGTGATTGTTACCATTTTATTCTTCATTCTCTTAATTTACTATCACCGTTTTGTTTTCTGCTCTGAGTCATCGTTGTTTCATGGGAAAGTGAGAATATAGAAATGTTGCTGTTAGCTATGCCAGAATCTGCTGAGATTAAGACTTTATAGTTCAAGATGCTCTCGTATGTCAAGAGGGGAGGCTCAGACCCAATTAGGACATTCTCCTCCCTTCATTCTGGCAGCTTGAATCCAAACACGGGCCCTAACACCGCTATTTTAGACTGTCCAATTTTAAACAACAAGAAACGTTGGTGACATCAACAGAGAAACAGCCAGATGCAGCTTGAGATAAACTGGTTCAGCTCCCAAAGACACTTCTCGACCAGAGTCACCGGTGACACAAATGATGCAAGTCATGTGACTTGCTCCAATCTGGGTGCACCCATTTCCACCAGGGCAGAGTTTGGACCCATGACTATAATTTATTTTCTGTAGATGGGTTGAATGAAGAGCCCAGATTCAACCAAAACCAACCTTGCTAGGGAACCAAATTTTGCCTGTAGCCCCTATATTTTAAGGTCCCAAAGCAAAACGTTGGATCTGAGCATCCCTAAATTTGGGTGTTTGAAATCTGGATCTGATTTGTGAAATTAGAACTAATTGGGGATATAATTAGAGTTGTGAAAAAGCTATAGAAGCAGCCTCTGCTATAAAATCCAAAGGTACAGTTTATTAAGGTTTATAAACTTAACTGAAAAGGATGGAAATTAAAAAAAAAAAAGTTAAGGTAGCCAGAGGAATTTTTTTTTAAAAAAAAATCATGTTATGCATTCTCTAATGGATTACCCATGTAAAGCAACATGACATGCTAAATTCTCTGAAGGTTTTGACCTTCCTCTTCTCCTCACCGCTACATATCAACTGAGTCCCTATAAATGTCCATTTACACTACAAATTACAACTAAGGCCTGGTCTACACTGGGGGAGGGATCAAAGTTACGCAACTTCAGCTACGTGAATACCGTAGCAGAAGTTGACGTACTTCGATCTACTCACCGCAGTGTCTAGACTAGATGCGATAAATCGACCCTTGCGGGATCGATCGCTGCCAGCCGATCCAGCAGGTAGTATAGACATACCCTAAGTCAGGAGACCTAGCTACAACACAGTTGTCTCTTTACCTGTTTACAAGCTGGCTCCAATTTGTGGATCCATTTAGACCGAATCTTAACGATCTATAACCAAGTGCATATTTCTGTAACATGTCTGATGCCAAGTTAAAGGACACTGATAAGGTTCCATCTACATTTCAAAGTCAAACTCTGTCTCCTGAATTAATAATATTTGTAAAGTAGACCAGCTTATAGATTTTATATTGTGCTCCTCAAAGCGCCAAGTTGTAGGAGACAAACATCTCAACTCTCCAGTTAAAAACCAAAATTCCATCTTTCCTTCTTATCTTTATGATATTGTCCATTCATTATTATAAATTGATTAAATCAGAAATGAATGAATCAAAGAGGGTTTTAACAAAATGATTATTTTAAATAAATTAATTTACTATCACATCAAAGCTTCTGGCATCACTAATTTTTCTTGTGTTCCTCATTTTGGATCTTTTGACAGACTGTATAAAGTGTCCCGCAGACCTTGCCAGGTTGACAGCTCTGACCAGTGACCGAGCTGGCTAGAATAAACACCTGCAATTTGCAATTAGAGATGTGTGTAAGGTTTTCTGTCCAATTTTGAATCAATTTCTATTTTACCCTTACCGTCACAGAACAGAATGCATGGCTAATCATAGAATCATGAAAGATTAGGGTTCGAAGAGACCTCAGGAGGTCATCTAGTCCAACCCCCTGCTCAAAGTGGGACCAACCCCAACTAAATCATCTCAGCCAGGGCTTTGTCAAGCCGGGCCTTAAAAGCATCTAAGGATGGAGATTCCACCACCTCCCGAGGTAACCCATTCCAGTGCTTCACCACCCTCCTAGTGAAATAGTTTTTCCTAATATCCAAATGAGACCTCCCCCACTGCAACTTGAGACCACTGCTTCTTGTTCTGTCATCTGAGAGTCCATAATTCTCATTTTAACTTGTACTGATTATGGATCATGAAGAAGTGATTCCACATATTGCAATGAGAAGCAAATCACCATATGGGGGATTAACTTCAGTTAATAAGTCAATAAATATTTGTTATTCCAGAGAGTGACAAATAATGACATTCCTCATTATGTTACAGACAGTTTTGGATGCTTTATTGCCTACAGCATATCCCTAGAAAATACTAATAATTTCAGGAGCCAAATTTTAGTGTTGGATCACAAGTTTATTTCCATAAGTTTGAACAGCATTTTATCTGGGGACAGATCTTTGACTAATGTAAACTGTCAGAGCTACATTAAAGTCAATGGAGCTATGACAATTTACATTCAGTTGAGGATCTGCCCCATGGTATCACTGAGCATCTTACACATAGGAACAGAGATCCTGGGGGTTCACTCTGTCATTGCAGTATGTAATATAGAAGACTGTCAAATGGTGAACAACAAAACAAGCTGTTATCTTACGTTGTGAATAAGCAGATGGATGTCTTCCTACCTAAAAAGGAAATATCACTTAAGAATCTTAGAGAATACAATGTTTACCCAGCTCTCTTTCTTTCAATATAGATAAAATAGCTATTCCAGATTTTGGGACTGGTGCTATGGAAAACTGGGGTCTGATCACTTACAGAGAAACAAACCTACTTTATGATCCCAAAGAATCTGCTTCATCCAACAAACAGAGAGTAGCAGCTGTGATTGCCCATGAGCTCGTTCACCAGGTAGATTTTATTAAATGTTTAATGTTTTTAAAGCACTAGAAGTGCACAGTATCCATACCTTGTTTATGAAAATAATCAGCCATACATTTGGTTCCAGGTCTTCTAAGTATGTTTAAACCTCACTTTAAAATAAGTGCACAAAGGCAATTCTATTGTTAGAGTTTTACAGTACTGGAATTATTGCAAATGGACTCTTCTCAGAAAATTAGATGCTTAGGACCAGGTTTTCAGCCAGCCTCTGAAAAATCTGCCTGAAACCACATCTCTCTCACATCCACCCACCCACATCATTTACATGTGCAGATATGTGATCTAAGTTTGCAAATGGATCCAACTAAACTCTGGAAGCTGCTTGAAAATTTGGTCCCTATAAAGGTAAATCAAATCAAGAGGAAGAAACTAAAAATACTTCCAGTGGTATATGAATCAGTACCAAATCACCGCTGTAATATGTAATTTCATAATACAAATGAGTAATGTGAGTCATCATCTGAATTCCCATTAAAAACCTAGCTTTACGACAAATTCTTCCTCCTGGCAACAGGAAGAAATGTAAACAAATGAAGATACTGCATGAAGATTTGCAAAACTATAATATACAATTATCACGGTGGCTAACACTTCATATTTAATGCTTACAATTATAGTGGTTTGGAAACATTGTGACCATGGACTGGTGGGACGACTTGTGGCTAAATGAAGGATTTGCCAGTTACTTTGAGTTCCTGGGAGTAAATGTTGCAGAAACTGATTGGCAAATGGTAATTATTTCTACACTATATTTTTTATTTTGAAATAGAATGAAAAGAAGAGTCATGTCACAGACACTGAAAACAAGGACACGTAGTGGATACACATACACTTAATTATTGTGGCACGCAGCTATGTAGAGAAAGGAGATACCTGAACAAATTGACTTGTGTGATTGTATACCACAGGCCTCTACTGACTGGACTGTGAAAGGACTTGCTGGGTTTCTAAATTGTCCTGCTAACTAGGTTTTGGTCTGAAACTAGTCTATAAGACTTGCAAAGTTCTGCTCACCTGAGGAGAGTAATGTTTTGATGAGTGAGTAAAATATTAGCTTATTATCACAGTAAAGAATCATAAGTAGATTCTGAGCCTGGTCATGGTAATTTTGCAAAGTGGCTATAAAAGTCCTACTCCTGAAAGATGGAGCATCTCCTTTTATTGATTCAGAAGAGCTGAAGAGTATGTGTGTGTGTGTGGTTACACAACCACAATGCAACCTGGAATGTGAATCCCTTTGAAGTCTGGTGGATTGGCAAGAGGGGGTTTAGGGTGAATTTATTCAGATCCAAACCTTTTTCTACAGCTTTGGTTAATGGGGGGAAATCAGTTCTCCAGATCCAGCTCCTGCAAGTGTTTTAAGCACTATGACATAGAACCATACTCAGAGCAAGTCTAATAAAAAAAATGCTTAAAACAGTAGTGACTGCAGGTGGCCTGTCTATCCTAAAGTTCCCAACATTGCTAACAGTGAAGCTGAACTAATTAGTTCGCTTTACAATTGTGCAAGTGTAACTCACACACCTCCTGGGTGTGGTGTTCTGTCCCCTCTAGTAGCACTGAGACCACGAGAGAGACAGAGACAGAGAGATATTAATGAGTTTGCTGTACAGCCTTAGGTAACAGATAGTGCATGAGCCAAAAGCCAACTAAGCTCCAGAGGTCCCACGTTCGAACTTGCCCACCAATGAGCAGGGTCTGTCAGCATTACACAAGAAAAGGAAAGCAGGTGCTTATTTTACACACTGAGGATTAATAACTGCTTGTATGAATTAGGTGATTTTGTTGTCCGTCAAAAACAGATGCCATGGCCCGTATCTACCAAATTAATATGAGACTCTAGCTATCATATGCATTCCTACTTTTATTTATATATAGGGCGGGGGGAGAGGGGAGGGCTTTAGTTTGTTAGATTTTTATTACATTAAATCCTTTTCAGCAAAATACCAATCACTGGCACATTTACTTTAGCAGTGACCAGAGCATATCTGATACTCCAAAGCAAAGCCAAAAAAACATTATTCACTCTTTCATTTGTGCAATCCTGTGCTGTACATTGCGGGGGGAGGGATGGGGGAAATCCTTCCTCACCCTGGATTAATCTCTTTACAACCTGAAGTATGAAATTCCATTACTCTTACTTTAACATACATAACTACATATTATTATTGATCATGAAGTTATGTAGCCCCTTTTTAAATCTAGACACAGTATTTAACTAAGGCATAGAGCTGTATACTAGTGAATGGTATAACAAAGTTATACAGAACTTTAGTCTCATTCATCTATTAATCAGGAATTAAGCGAATATGGATGACAGGTTACTGGATCTGACAAAGGAAGAAAAAAACCAAAAAACAGGGACAGTTCCTGAAGAAATCCTACGTACTCCTCAACCCGACCTCCATATAGCCATCTGTGCTGTGTCTCAAAACTGAAATTGGTAACAGTCTCCCTTTTTTGCCTTGCTGACCTTTTTGTGTTGTGAGATGCACATGTTCAAACAGGATTCTGTGGGAGGTAATTTATCATAGCGGAGGAAAGAGGTCCCCATCTTAGAAATACAGTGCTAATGCACAAGTCGTTCTGCAGAGGAGGTGAAATTTCAGTCTGCATGCCTCCTCCATCCACATCCCATATACCAAAGGCAGATCGGAAGCTTCCATTTAAAGTTATAAACTATTTGTTCTTTGAGTAAGAATTATATTCCTGGTTTTGTTTCTGTTTACCAGCTTGATCAGGTGTTAATTGACGACGTGCTGCCTGTGCTGAAGGACGACTCCTTGTTGTCTTCTCACCCTATTGTGGTCAATGTGTCATCTCCAGCTGAAATAACATCTGTATTTGATGGCATATCATACAGCAAGGTAGGAGAGGCCTCGCATTATAATCTTAACTATAATAAAGGGGGTTTGAGGAGGAGACAAAAGACAATGGGGATCACAAACAATCAGCCTGTGTCTGCACTAGCCTTTTTCTGAAAAGTTCCCCACCCTTATTAACACTGTGACAGGTTTCAGAGTAGCAGCCGTGTTAGTCTGTATCAGCAAAAACAAGGAGGAGTCCTTGTGGCACCTTAGAGACTAACAAATGTATTTGGCCATAAGCTTTCATGGGCTATAACCCACTTCATCAGATGCATGAAGTGAAAAATACAGTAGGCAGATATAAATATACAGCACATGAAAAGATGGGAGTTGCCATACCAAGTGGGGAGTCAGTGCTAACGAGGCCAATTCAATCATGGTGGATGTGGCCCATTCCCAACAGTTGACAAAAAGGTGTGAGTATCAACAGAAGGGAAATTATTTTTTGTAGTGACCCAGCCCCTCCCAATCTTTATTCGAGCCTAATTTGATGGTGTCAAGTTTGCAAATTAATTCCAGTTCTGTAGTTTCTCGTTGAAGTCTGTTTTTGAAGTTTTTTTGTTGAAGAATGGCCACCTCTAAGTCTGTTATTGAGTGTCCAGGGAGATTGAAGTGCTCTCCTACTGGTTTTTGAATGTTACAATTCTTGATGTCTGATTTGTGTCCATTTATTCTTTTGCGTAGAGACTGTCCAGTTTGGCCAATGTACATGGCAGAGGGGCATATGGCACATGGTGCATATATCACAGTGGTAGATGTGCAGGTGAACGAGCCCCTGATGGTGTGGCTGATGTGATTAGGTCCTATGATGGTGTCCCTTGAATAGATATGTGGACAGAGTTGGCACTGGGGTTTGTTGCAGGGATTGGTTCCTGGGTTAGTGTTTCTGTTGTATGGTGTGTAGTTGCTGGGGAGTATTTGCTTCAGGTTGGGGGGCTGTCTGTAAGCGAGGACTGGCCTGTCTCCCAAGGTCTGTAGGAGAGCACTTCTCCTCTAAGCTAGGGTACCTAATGTTGCTGAAACACTGTTAATGACAGTGGGGACCTTTTTAGACGGGGCCACTGCTTTTAGTGGGAGTACTTGTAGGAGCGAGGCAAGAATTTGACCCAGTGGCTTCTTACTGCAAAAGATTCCTGCCATTTACTGTTTTTAGTATACTGAATTCGTTTAGGTTAACAACTTCTTGTACGACTCTACCGCTCTTTCCTATTTTATGCTATAGATAAGGATTCCTCTAATCATTCAAATTCTCCGTTGCACACTGCACTCCAAGAGAGAAGTTACTTAAAGAATTCAGAGATTCCCAATAATTAATTGCATTTGAAAATCTGATTTCACTCAAAATTTAGTAGACTTAAGATTTTGAGTTGAATTCATTAAATCCTTAGTGAACAAACTATAGACTGTGATTTTGTATCTTTCCTTCAGAACCCTGTATGCAGAAATTCTAACATAGCGTCTGCTAATGTTACAGCCAGCCTATTCCTTGCCTCAAGACTTTCATTATTATGCTCAGCAAAAATGTATCTGTCACAGATTTTAGCCTCAGCTATGTCTAGAACAAAATCCTCTTGAGTGTTAGGTATCTCTTTTTATTAGCTAGCCCTACACCCAAGTAGGCTACTTTTTATAGTTTTTTTTTTCCAATTGTTAGTGCCTGTACCCAACAATATAAATCAGTATTTATTGCATCATAAATGTCCAGTAGCCAAACCATAAACCATTAGGTAAATTGCATTCCTGCAACCCTGAAGGTCTCAATCAAACCAACAATAGCCAATATATGTAGAGTAAAATCAGACACTCTGGACCTAAAGCTGATTTAAGTTTCACCAAAGCAGTGAGTAAGAGACACATTTTTGTTTTCTACAGCTTTTAAAGGTACCAGATGGTACTGTGCTGTATAAGAAACTGAATAGAAAACTCCCATCTTTAATTCATCCTCCCCTTTGTGCCTACATAGTTGCCACAAAATTGAATGTTTTAAGATAAACCACTATTTTGGAAAAAGAAAAGGAGTACTAGTAGCACCTTAGAGACTAACCAATTTATTTGAGCATGAGCTTTCATGAGCTACAGCTCACTTCATCGGATGCTCACGAAAGCTTATGCTCAAATAAATTGGTTAGTCTCTAAGGTGCCACTAGTACTCCTTTTCTTTTTGCAAATACAGACTAACACGGCTGCTACTCTGAAATCTGCCATGTTTGGGAACAGTGAGACAGGGATATATTTTCAATATTAAAACTAAGAAAACCTCTTATGAAATTGTATGACAGTTGACAATTAATGCGCAATTTGGAACTTAATGTCAACTTAATCAGAACACGTATAAATGCTTATACAATCTAAAGATGCAATGAATTTTTTAGGGTCTATGGAGTCATCACAGCACACTCTGTAATTACATACCTGGTCAGTATCTGATTGATAGGGCACAACATAGGTAGAAAAGTCAAATTAGGTAAAATGCAGTGTGGATGTAGCTGTGTCAGTTGCAGGGTATCAGAGAGACAAGGTGGGTGAGGTAATATCTTTTACTGGACCAACTTCTGTTGGTGAGAGACATCGGTGCTGACTCTGTGTGTGCTCAAGTATCTACCGAAAAAAACCAGGGAACACCCGCAGGGCCAGATTAATCTTTTGTGGGCCCTGGTGCCAGGACCATGGCCCTGCCCCCCCACTCCACCCCAAGGACCCACCCCCACTTGCTTGGGGGGGAAAAGGGGTGGAGAGGAGCACCCACTGGCAAAAACAAAAGCCAGCGCCTGTGGTGAGAGACAAAAGCTCTTGAGCTTCCACAAAGTTCTTCTTCATGTGTTCTTCTTTATGTGTTCTGATTAAATTGACACTGAGTTCCAAATGGTGTGTTGTCAACTGTCACACACTCTCATAAGAGGTTTTCTTAATTATTTTGAGTGTTACCTGAAAGGAAGCCAACTAATCTTATCATCAGAGATTTACCTACAGACAATAAGAATCATCCAAGTTAAATCTACAAAGTGAGGATACTCAGATTCAAGATAAATTATATCCCTGGCTCCTGAAGAATAGCTCTGTGGAAGCTCAAAAGCTCATCTCTCTCACCAACAGAAGTTGGTCCAAAAAAAGGTATTAACTCGCCCACTTGTCTCTAGTTAGGTAAAAGACAGTTTGACCATATAATAGAGCTGGTATTAGTGACTCCACAGTTAAAGTTGTTTTGAGATTTGCACTTGAATTATCACACTTCATCTCTCTCACAGTTTAACAGTCTAATACATTGTCTTCAGATAACAGCTGAATTTTCCATAATATTTTAGCTCTAATATTGATAAAAAAATTTCAGAGGAAATATTTTAAATAAGACTACTTCAGAAAGAGCTTGAGAGTCTCAGCATTTCTGAACCCTGTGGCTAAAGAACTATAGGTACCAAAACTTCCCAATTTACACATGTGCAACCGCACAATATCTCTGGCATAGGCTAGCAATTATAAAAATATGCTGATAGCATGTATGTTTACAAAAAAATAAAAAAGGGTCAGCTACTCAGCTGGTATAAATCAGCGTCTCTTTATTTACTTCATCTGAGCTATTCCATTTAGTGTAAATTGAAGATCTGGCCCAAATGAGAGAAAAGTTATGCAAACAACTGGGTTTATATAACTTGTGGTGTTGTTCTCCATTGTCACAACCTCAAGGGGATTGCAAAAGGCAGTCAGGAGGGTTATGAGGATCAGAAACACTGTTCGACATTGTTTATAAAAGTGACCTTGTAGTCTGTATAAGTAATCAGTTCTGATGCTTATCAACCTCTCCAATTTATATAACAAATAAAGCTATTTTTGTATTGGAAAAGAGTCATCTGCCGGCCAGATTGAGAACTGCAACAATAAATTGCAAAAGAAAGTCTCCAAATTAAGGACTTGTCTATTGCTGTTTGAAACCACTGCTCTACATCAAAGCATGCTATGGAACTTTTAGTGCATGGTAGCACGGTCCACATGGCCATTCAGCATGCAGCAGGCTAGTGCACTGTATATTCATACCCTGGGTTGCTGTGCGCTAAGTCTTAGTATAGACAAGTCCTAACGATTGCATAAGTCTACTCAATGTTAACGACCACTCCAGTGACACTGGTGTGTCCAAATTGTCATCCCTAGTAATATAAAGAATGGAGTCAAGGCTTACTGAGGACTGATATAAGTGCTAATCTCATGGGACAGTGAGTTGTTTTTTTAAAGTTCAAAATATTTTTTCAGCTATCCTTTTTCTCTGCCAAGGAAATAAAATTTACTAACCTTTAAGTGGTATGCTGGGTCTTGTTTATTTTCCTTTCCTTCTTTTTGTGGCTGTCCCATTCTCTCTCTTCCACCTGTCTGTTATTTCCTCTGTCCATTTTTATTTCTCTCTTCTACCTTGGTGTCTTCCCCCACCCTCTTCCTTTTCCAAGGCCCCTATCTCACTTTGTCTCCTCCTGCCCACCAAGATCTTTTCTTTGGAGTAAGTGTCACAGAGCCTGTCAATCTGCTTCAGAGGCTGGTATTTTTATGCCAGGTCATCATTCCAGCATAATTTAAGCCTTGAGTTGAGCCAATGTACAATCTAAAACTGCAGATTTTCAGCATTTTAAAGGCTTCTAATTTCTTATTCAAAGTCTCACAACAGGATCTGAAATCATGGCAGGAGTGTGTGTGTGAGAGAGTGAGAGAGAATGCTCTGCAGAAATAAGGAACTAAATTTTTATCCCTATAGAGTACTTCTATTTTTGCTCAATGAAATATAAACTCTAGTGAAGTCTTTTAAAGTAATGAGAATCTAGTTTTAAAAAGGTGTGAAATGACCTTATTCCCTTTCTTTTTGTATGTAGGGAGCATCAATTCTCAGAATGCTTCAAGATTGGATTACACCAGCAAATTTTCAAAAAGGATGTCAGGTATGAACTACAGTAAAACATGCCAGAAACAAAAATAAACCATATGTGGCAAAGGGAAAGATTTTACTCAGAAAAATGAATGTGATATGTTCGCTTTTGATGTTCTCATTAGAATTTTAGATAACTATTTCTGTACTAAAACATTTATTCCTAACATTTATATACTAACATTTACTCCAATTAATATAAATTTTAATTTTTTCAGGCTGTAGATACACTAACTCCTTCAACTGCATCTGAAAAAGCTGTGTAGACAATAAAAGCTAGGTTAAACAAATTTCCAGCATGGTGGTACAGCTTGGTAATGATATAGAAGTTATGGAACCTTTTGCAGTGGGACTAGGTAGCAATGTTAAGTGGAAATTCATACTCACAATGAATTGGAATTTGAACTGCAGGGTTGTATGTGTGTTTGAAGACCAGCCAGTGATGACTCTAGGCCAGTGGTTCTCAAACTTTTGTACTGGTGACCCCTTTCAAATACTTTGCATAATGACAGGTTTCAGAGTAGCAGCTGTGTTAGTCTGTATCCACAAAAAGAACAGGAGTACTTGTGGCACCTTAGAGACTAACAAATGTATTTGAGCATAACCTTTCGTGGGCTACAACATCTGATGAAGTGGGCTGTAGCCCACGAAAGGTTATGCTCAAATAAATTTGTTAGTCTTTAAGGTGCCATAAGTACTCCTGTTCCTTTCAAACAGCAAGCCTCTCAATATGACCCCCCCACCCTTTATAAATTAAAAACATTTTTTATATATTTAACCCCATTATAAATGCTGGATGCGAAGAGGGGTTTGGGGTGGAGGCTGACAGCTCCCAACCCCCCCATATAATAACCACGCGACCCCAAGGGGTTCTGACCCCCAGTTTGAGAACCCCTGCCCTAGGCATATGATATCTAACAATACCCTCCTGATTCCTCCTTAATACTCTATCCCCATGCTCTTATCTGTAATAACTAGAACCTAGTCACCCAGCTACCAAAGCACTCCTGCATCTTCCTAACACCAAGTACCTCCAGACCACCCAGTTGTGCTATGCCGTTTACAAAAATCTGTCTGAAGGCTTTACAAATCTTGATTCACTTGGCACCTGCAAAAAGTTGAAGGCCATTACAAACTCCTCTTTCAGAGCAATTAGGGAAGCCAGAGCCTGAAAACAGAGTGACTCCACATCTGTCAATCCAGATGCATGGTGCTAATTTGCCCTGGAAAAATAAATAAATAAATAAATAACCCCACAGCCCTCTTTCACTTTAACCCTACCAAGAGGCTAGGATACATTGTTAGGATATATGACAACTACCATACACACAAAACAGAAAATTGGAGAACTTGGGGTCCTCTCCAGAAATAGAGAGCATAACTGCTGTTCTCTGAAATCTTTAAATAATTAATCATGATGCCTTTGTTTCCTGGGTTATTAAATATGTTCTTATCCCACACACACAAACAACCTACCTCCTCCTCTTCCCCCAAAGATCTCTGAGCTGCTACACTGGCATTTTTCAAGAAATCTCTCACAATTGAGCTAGTCCTCAAAGTGAATCTTCAGAATATGGTCATGCCTGATGCCAGATGCTTGAGCCCCGTTTACACTAGTGCTCTCGTCACTGCTCCCAAGCTAGAATTGACAGGGCTAAGATACGAAGGGGCTGGGAGAACATCCTGGCTGACCAGCTGACTGATTATATTGAAACCACAGCAAAAACATTTCCATACAATCCGTAAGGACAGTCCTACATAGACAGGAATATTCAATCACACTCCACATTATAGGCACAAGCTGCCGTGATAAATACTTCCTGTTTACCCACTTCCCTATAAAAGCACAGGAACAGCTGTGGCTGAGATTGAAACAAACAGCACCACCTACCTAACATTCTGTAGGCAGGCTAGGAAAGAAAATACCACGTACTACTTGATGTGTCTCAGTCTCAGAGTAGCACTGAACTGGGGGATAGCATATTCTAGCATTCAATATTTAAGCATAACAGCAAATCATTAAATAGCAAATTATTAGTTATCAGTTAAACCTTTAACATTTCGATCACAGAATGCAGTTGTCCAAATTATCATAGTTCAACTTTGATTTCCACTTTTAGACACCCCTAAAATAACTCTTTTTGTGACCTATTTAATAAGACAGAAATTTACAACAAACTACATTTTGTCCACTCAAGTAAACAAAGAAAAAGTCTAGGGCCCTCTCCAAGGATTAATATATTGCACATTAATGTATCATGTTGGAAAATATTGACTCCCCGCCTAAAGAATAGGCCTGTCCTTTGGGAAGTACGAAATGCTTTTGGATTAATATGGTTCCATTTGATTTATTGCAGACACACACGACAGGGATGATGGGGAAACTTTATTCCACCCTTTCAAATGTCTCATCAGTGAGCAGCTGTGTTTTTGCTGATTCGGTTTGTTTTTAAATTGAGACATATAAATTAATAAAACTTTGATAAAAACAATGGACCCAAACTTAGCTTCCAGAAGGAAGAAGAGGTTGGTTCTCTTTGGACCGTGTAGAAATTAAATCACACTTCATCCTGGCTGACATTAAGATCTTTCATGCCCTCCAAATTTTCTCTGGTAAATGGTGTTTGTAAGTCATATGGACTAATATTTTGGACACTTATAATTCAGTGTGCAATCATTTCTCAATGTTTCTGGCTTTCCCAAAGGCAGAAGAGTGGGAACAACTGCTCCCACCCTGCATTTATACAGGGAGGAGTAGATATCTCTGAGATCTCCTTTTTAGAACAACCTGTGGACCCTGCATTTGGAAAGTGTTTCTACTTTCCATCTGTGCAGAAAGCAATGAAATAAACAAATGTACATATATCTCAAAGCATTTGCTGGTTAGGAACAACACCACTCTTAGGAAGGAATTCTGCACATTAGTTCTACAGATAACATTACAATATGTGCATTGTTTTGACAGGTGAGGAAGGACATGCAACTATTTAAAACACTTTCTTCTCTCTTTTTCTAGGACTACCTAAAGAAATACCATTTCCGGAATGCAAAGACAGATGATTTTTGGGAATCCCTGGCACAGGTATGGTCTGTAACAATTAATACCCTTGCTATTAAAGGTTTCTGTACTCATCCTACAGAGCAGGGTTTCCCAAACTTTTTCATATTGTGAATCTTGTTAGTAGAGAGATCATATCCCAGGCAGCCTCCCCCAGCACAGCAAACTCCAAATCTCATCCCTCTAGTAAATACAATACTCATTTTTTGCATGGGAAAATTGCTTGGGTGTGGGTTGGAACTGGGAGCAAGTGAGGGGAAACTGATCGAGCAAAACAATTCTTTATGCACATACACAAGAAATTGCAACCCTTCCAACCTATCTGCCCACATCAGTCTCCTTTAAATGCACACACACGCTCCCCTAACATGATTCTTTCTATAGTAGTGTTTTCTATAGCGCTCATCACAACAGTATTTAAGCCAGTGGGTCTCAACCTTTCCAGACTACTGTACCCCTTTCAGGAGTCTGATTGTCTTGCGTACCCCCAACTTTCATCTCACTTAAAACGGCTTGCTTACAAAATCAAACATAAAAATACAAACGTATCACAGCAGACTATTACTGAAAAATTGCTCACTTCCTCATTTTTACCATATAATTATATGTAATATAATTTATAATATAATATATTATATTAATTGGAATATAAATATTCTACTTACGTTTCAGTGTAGTTTATAGAGCAGTATAAACAAGTCATTGTCAGTATGTTAGTTTGTACTGATTTCGCTCGTGCTTTTTATGTAGCCTGTTGTAAAACTACACAAATATGAGTTGATATACCCCCTGGAAAACCTCTGCATACTCCCAAGGGCACGTATACCCCTGGTTGAGAACCACTGATCTAAACACTTAGTATGACTGCCAGTTTAACTACCCTGGATCCCTTCTGCTCCCTTATTTCCCACCAGATCTTGGTTCCGTCCTTGTCCCCAGGTTTTGGCGCTTTCTTCCTATCCTGCTCCCCAGTTGCCTCCTGAGGCCCACCTGTTTTCTGCCTCTCCAAGTTCCCAGCTCCTTACTCAGACACCACATGCCTTCCTCTCCCCCTCCCTCACCCAGGTTCCTGATAGCCATTATGCCCAACTTCTGCATTAGTGTCTCCTCCTGCCCTCCCTCTAGTCCCAGGCTCTCGTCTGCCCAGCCTGGCTCTCTCCTTGTTCTCTTCTCCCTCTCTGCTGCTCACAGAACCTTCTAGCCCTGGAGAACAACACCTTAAACCTGGCTCCTTTCCATCCAACACATGGTGGGTTGGAGGGGCACTGGTAAAGTCCCATGGCCCCAGTCGGAGACGCAGCTGCACTTGAGTTTGTGGGTAAAGAGGAAAGGAGGGGGCAGCTCCATCATTATAACAGCAGTCCCTAGTGCTGGCTCCTCCTTCCTTCCACCGGCACCTATCTGAAATTGTCTGGAGGATGGGGGGCAGAGCCAGCAACTCAGCTCTCTTCAGAGCACCTGGAAGGACTGGCTTGCAGACCACAGTTTGGGAATTCTGCTGTAGAGGAGATTCACCAACAGTGCTAGAGTTTCAGTTAGTCCTTCCTGTGTTCTACTCCCTCCTCAGAAGGCAGCAGAGGAGGAAAATCATTTGAGCTTGAAGTGTGCAGAGAGGAGCAAGACACAAGGGCAGGGAATATTCTTTGCCCCTCCTACTGCCTGAACCCTGACCTAGTTTAACCCTATTTTCTTCAAGAGTATTTAAAATGTCTCGGTTGACAGCTCATTAGTTTTCTTTTGTTACATGCACCATGAAAGAGTTTAACAAATAAAATATTTTTGAGCTAATCTTACCGTCTTATTTGATGAATTGTTAGGAACAAAGCCCTAACATTAATGGGGGAAACCTGTTCCCTTTCTGGTCTCCCATCCAGTCAGGATGAGAGTTTTATTCCCTCTTCAGTCTGATTTAGCTTTCTTAGTGAGACCATCTGCTGTTATTCTTAGACAAGTGATAAGCCAGTGAAGGAAGTGATGGACACCTGGACCAGGCAGATGGGATACCCTGTATTGAGTGTGGACGCTAATTTGAAGGTCACACAGAAACGTTTTCTGTTGGACCCCTCAGCAAATACTTCTGAACCGACCTCTGCACTAGGGTAAGGTTTTACTGTATATGCCTGTCATGTAGACGAACAGCAGAAAGAGAGATGCTGTAGATAGATATGTTCATGTGGATTCATTCACTCTCTTACACACACACACCAACCAGTTCTCCCTACCTTCAGTGTACAGTTACCTCCCAAAACATGTAATGCAATGTATAGTAAATGTAATGTCTAAAGGAACAGGTATGCTGTGTAACTTTGGATACGTGGTACACTCCACCCACCCGCTTTGCTTGAGTCTAATCAACTCCACGTAACTTTGCCTTATGCCAAATAAAGGAACCTGAGTGACAAGACTGGAGGTGAACTGAGTTCTTGGGAGACCAAGTGGAAGAGGTCTTGGGGGAAACCCAACAACCAGTAAAATTACAAGAAAACTTAACAAGATGCTATATAATACCTCCCCACACCCAGGACAACTACTGCATCAGCTCTTTGTCTCTCAGTGTACAACACCAAATGTCTAAATCCAAAAGGAAGAAAAGGAAGGGAGGACAAATGATATGGAGGACGGGGCATAATGGAGATCACACAGCAGTTTCAGTTCCATATGGATATTTTTTCTTTTTTCAATATTTCTGAGTGAATTTCATGATGGTTGAAAATGCTGTATTTATAGCCCTGGAGACTTTATCCACCAAAACAGGTACAGCCATGGACAGAAGAATGCAGACTTCCCCAGGCTGCCCAGCAAGTGTGCCTCAGCAATAACCCACAGAGCACCATCTGTAAAGGCAAAAGAGTAGTTCTGTCCCCATGTTGATACAATTCTTGCCTTTTCTGCTCAAGACTGCCAACAAGGCTGCCAAACAGTGTCAACTGTGGTGGTGGTTTTGTGGGGCTTGACGTTGGACAACAACTAATTTCACACAGATCAAAGAGCCATCAGTCAGAAAAACCATTTCTGGTCACTAGTGCCCTGGTCTGGATTTGAATTTGGGGCCGGGGGGGGAGAATGTGCAGACTTGAACCAAAAACAAATTCATTATTGCAAATTCTCCCTCTGTGCCATATGGAAGATTAACAGCTCCTTACTGTTCACAAAGTTGGCTCATTGCATTATGCTCAGAAGTGGGCAAATCCAGAAGCCCAGCTTTCCTCATAATCAAAGGAATTAGAGCACCAGGTTCTTGGTGTTCATCATGCTTTTAATGTAAATCCCAACGTGAGTCCTGCCCTAATCAGTCATGTACATTGTGCACTGCTCCAGTCATTCCAGAAACAGCTGCATCTCAGCAGCGGGGGAAATTAGTTCTAGATAAGTAAAGTTTAATTAAGTGCTTAGCGATAAAATACACTAGTATATATAATTAATTATTATTATTATTATTATTATAAAGTCCTAATATTATCTTCATTGGAATAGGTTTCATCCCTTGCAAAGGATCCAAGTGCACTGTAAAACTTTACTCCCTCCCTCAGCCAGTGCTGACGTGGGAGAGGAGACCACTGGGGCCTTGTGCCCCTCAGTGGAACTGTGACAGCTCAGCTCCAGGTTTGGGTTTGTGACTAAGCTGTGAAACAGAGTCTAATAAAATTTTGTTCTCTGAAGCCTGCAGGGGTGGTCTCCCTAGCTGGCTACAGTGCCCCTGTCCTGAGAAAGTCCTGTTCTGTATATTAACACTCAAAAGAGAAATACAACTTCAAGAACTCATGTTCTTTAAATAGTGCTGCTAGGCAAGTATATGGCTGCAATATAGAATGTCAGGAAAACATCCTCAATACACATACTTAACAGGATATGGATATTGTACTTAATGCCCAAGAGAAGTATTTATGTACATGATCTCAGGAACATATTAAAACTAAAACTAACACTGAAGGAAAATCACTCCACTAAGTGCATTTACAAAACCAAGTATTAGGAACTCTTTTATCAGCTTTCTCCTGGAGAAATGCAACAGCCAGGCTTTTGGCCAAGCAATAACCCTTTTAAACTCCATGGCAATAATTCTCCAAAAGACAGCTAATAAAAGTTAAATATGTTAAAGCTAAATCTGTTAAAATATTTTGTATTTAAAAATGTAACACAAGAGCGGACCTTTCTCCTGGTAGGTAGCAAAGAGACATGACTTCCTTCATTTTCTTACTTGCCAGAATGAAGCTATCATTCCTTTGATCCTGGGTTCTAATGCAGTAAAGTCAGAAGAATGACACAAATTTTTGTATGGTGTTTATCCACATGGTATCTAAGATGATAGAAAAACATCTCTGGGCTGGATATTGATACCCTTACTTTATATAGTACCTTACTTCCCAACTGCTCCATTGATTTCAATGAGACTTATCAAAGAGTAAGATACTACTTAATGTGGATAAAGGTATATCACAATCTGGTGCCCAGTGAGGGAGGGAGGAATCAATGTGGTCTAAAAGAAGAAACACAGGATTGGAACAATCAAGAGGTCCTGAGTTCTAATTCTGCCTCAGACACAGATTCGTTGTATAGTTGTCAAAGAATCACCTTCTGTTTTCTTATCTGTAAAACCGGTAGAGTAATACTTAGCAACTTACCACACAGGGGTGTTGTGAAGGTTAATTAGTTAATGTCTGTACAAAACTTTGAACATGTAAACCTCTACATTAATGCTAAGGTCACCCATCTGCATATAATCATACTTCATGAAACTAAATGCCTTGTGATCTACTAGATTAGCATGCTATGATACAGAAATACTACTTGACAAGACTCTATTTCCAACTGTGTATAATTATAACAAACACATTTACAGTATAGAATGGTACAGAAATTAGCTAGTCCACACAACACCCCTCTGATATTGGGTAAATATCATTCCCATTTTATAGATGGAGAAACTGAGGCACAGAGACATTAAGGCCCTCATTCAGAAAGGTATTTAAGCATGTGAATCCTTCCATGGATTTCAGAAAAATGGTTTGATCAATGGAACTACTCTTATGGCTAAAGTTAGGCATGTGACTAAATACCTTGCTAAATCAAGACATAAGTTACTTGCTTAATACCACACATAGTCAATGCCAGATTTTGGACTAAAACTCAGTAATCCATAGCTTCCAGTCCTGTGCTCAGTCTGCCAGAGGCCTGGCAGCAATTATGCATATTTCATAGTTTTAGGGACTAAACTACTTCTATTCTCCATATCTAAAAGAGGAATGCTATCAGATACTTCAAACCTTTTATTTTAACTTAGAAATAGAATATTGTCCTAATTATGCAGGGTTTGCTCAATAAAAATAACCAAGTATCTATATTAGCTTGCCTGTATCCAAGATTTTTATAAATTGCTTTTGCCAGAAAGATACCCTAAAGCAGTTTATAATATATTTAAATAATCAAGCTATTGGTAAAAAAAACAAAAATTTGTTATCTGTGGTAATTAGTCATATATTAGTGGATATCTATATCTAGATACACAGGTATGTACATATTTAGAAATTGACTATGAAGAAGTAAGTTTATGCAGTCCCTAGCACAATAAAACTGGATCCTATAGGTGCTACAATAAATGTATTATTTATTAATCATCATAATAATAGATAAAATATTTTAAATGTTTTATTTTAGGTTCTCTTTCAAAAGTTGTTTATTTTTTCATTTAAAATAATTTCAGTTACACATGGAATATCCCAGTGAAATGGTATGCTGGGAACGAAACAGATGTTACATTCTACAATAAATCAGAATCTGCAGGTAAACTTCAGTAATGTTTCATTTCTGAATAACAGTAGGTTCAATGTGACAATCATGCAAAGCTTTAAAAATATCCTTAGTAAGAACTAAAAATAACAACTAACTTTTATGCTCTTCAGTGCTTGAAACACACTGCTTGGGAATAAAGGAGTTAAGATCCTTCCCTAGAAAGAGAATAAGCCCCTCCCATAAACAGGATTATGCTAATTACGTCCAATAATTAAAATCTATTCTTATTTATTCAAACAATATGACACAGCCTAATATAAAATTGGTCATTTGGTTTAGAGGAATTTGGGGCACATTAAAACAAAGATTTCAGTTTAATGTTAATGATTGCGTGTGTTTGCGCGAGGACTGCATATTCAAATATTTAAGACATGCTTAAATCCACCCCTACTCAGAAAAGCACCTACACACTGCTTAGCTATAAGCCTGCTGTCCCACTGACAGCAATGGGACTTAAGTATGTACTTTCCTGAATCTCAGCCTAAGGGAGAAGCTGGATCTGGATGGTGCTAAATACATCTCTTGCAGTGATAAAGTCTAGAGTCGCTTAGTTTCGGTGGATGGAGCTGCAGTACTGTGTTATATTTGGAATTGGCTGAAGCTATTTTCTGCTCAAAAAAACCCAGGAGATGTCCATGAAAGTTTTAGGTTTTTTCCCCAAAATTCTACATTTCAAAATTTGAAAAGTTTCTACTGCTCAACAAAATTTCAAAATTCAGAAATATATTACCAGCTCTTCTGTTCTCTTTTTGTATTTAGCACCTGTCTCCCCTCTTGCAGTTGAGTTTGTTTTGGTTTTTTAAATTACTTTAAAGTTTGTGTTTAACTTAATTTTCATCCTAGACTCTGAATGCAAGTAAGCCTACCCATTATGTTATGATGCATAACGGAAAACTGCATGAAAGAATTTTCTCTCACCACTCTCTCCAACGCAACACTGGAGACTGAGAGTTGTCCCAATGAATTAGAACAGTCACTTGAAATACCTTGCACTGCTCATCCAAAGTGAAAAATACTATTTACTGAGTCAATATGCATTGGAGTAAAAGGCTTCTGACTTCAGACACTGGAATAGGCACTAAGTGAACTTTCAAAACTGCTGACCACAGTGGGAGCAGTTTAACTTTTGAGAATGGAACATCATCCTCAAGGGTTAGGCTTCACTCTGAGTTTCCATGAACCTCAAGACTTGAGTAAGGGCTTGGTTTATTTTATAGTTTAATTAATTTGTAGCTATAGGACCTGAATCAAGGAAGGGGAATTAAAAAAGAGATGCATAGACCTAAAATGGAAAAACATTTAGAGGATAAATAGGTAAAATATAAAATCAGATTAATACAAACACTGAGAACTGATAGAGGCTTTTGGAATAAATATTAATAGGAATAATTTTTGTGATTATTCTTTTTGCAATAAACACTTAATTTTCTTTATGCTTATTCTAAAATCAGTAGTCTCCATTTTTAATAATGAACATTTGCATACAGTTTTCACACTGTTACCACAGTTATTTCTTATTCTAAGCTAACAGGTAGCATCAATATCTTTACTCTCTGCCATTTTAGAGCAACCAACCTAGAATTAAGCTTTGAGTCCTTTGTGGATATGGGTTAAAAATCAAACATGACTTTTGGAGTGAATATATTTCCAATGAGTCCCCCCCAGCCATGTATTTATATGCATGTAAAATTTCATTACTATTTGTTTACAGCCACCGGAATTACTATAACACCCAGCAACCCTAATTCTTTACTGAAAATAAATCCAGACCACATTGGATTTTATCGTGTAAATTATGAAACACAAACTTGGAACAACATAGCCAATAATCTGCTTAACAACCAAAAGGTGAGTCTGATTAAATTAACTGGATTTGGTTACAAGCTGGTTGGTTTCTCGGATCTATTGACAATTACTGTTTCTTCTACAAAATATAAACGTCTTTTTGCTTCTTTTTCTTCCTCCCCTCGTGCAGTATTTCTCTGCTGCTGATCGTGCCGGGCTTGTGGATGATGTGTTTTCTTTGGCAAGGTAGGTTTTATAATGAAACTAGCACATTATAGACATTTCAAAATAGCTTTCATGTCTTCCCATGGTTATTATATTGGCATTCTCTTGGTTTGGATGGTGGTAATGAGAATTTTTAAACTATTATTTTATTGTAACTCCAGGAAGAATCAAGTCTTGGTTTGTCTTCAGCAGCCTTTTCTTCTCTTACATTTTCCTCCATAAGGAGAAAATTCAAATGTGGGTACAACTCTTATTGGTATCAGTTAGAGTTGGCCTTACCTGTCCAATATTAGGGTGTGATCCTAAATCACTGAAGTTAATGGGAGTTTTGCCATTCACTTCAATGGAAGAAGGATTTTATTTCCTATCTCTGCCTGAAGAACTCTTGGTTTTTTGAGCCTGGTGTGGATGGCAAGGCCATGACAGAAATGTTCCAGATGAAGCATTCCCAGAAGAAACCAAGTGTCTAAAGAGAGTCACAGAGGTCTGTCCCTCTGTGTATATGTCTCGATAGATATCCCAAAATCCAACAGATTTCCTTCTGAATCTTGAGACATTAGGACAGTTAATGAGACATAACTTCTTTGTTGGTCACACAACTGTGTGTACCTTTTCAAGGTTTGTTTGGTGAATAAAAGCAGGTAACTACACAATGTTGATTGCCCTAGAATGGTAATGAGAGCTCCTTCAGAGCTGCTCTGCTCTTGTACATGACATCTAATCATAATAATCCTTCAGAACTTTCTTTGAAAAGTGCCTCCTGTGTATGTTCCATAACTTTTTCCCAAGTTTATTATCAGAGCCCTTTTAAAGAGCACGGTGCTATAATAATCTCTTTAGCACTTTAATTGCTGTTATCACACAATACAGACAATTCCTTTTGCCTTAGGATGAAGTGAAGGGCTCTTGTGGGAGTGCAGTTGAGTAGCTGTGTATAAAAGAGATAAACACTGTGAGAACTGGAAGGACTGTTGATAAGAGTTCCATAAAAAGTCAGGAAAATAAAGATGGTTTGGGCCTGGTTACTAAACCCATTAAGAATGCAATTGCATAAGCAAAATATATACACAATTTTGCATCCAATTTACTTGTAATTATTGAAGTTGTGCATGCAAAGGATTAATTATGATCATTTGTTCCCACATGACTGAATTACACACACAATCACAGCAAGTGTGTGCATGAATTGTACACCTATTCATTTAAAATCAAACCCTTTATGTTCAATACCATGTATAATAAAAAAAAACCCACAACATACAAGATTCCATGATTATTAAACATACTAGCTAAATATTTAGAGCTAGTTTGTCCCTTCTGTGGGACTCACATTAACAAATATTCTATGTCACTAATATTCTGCATTACAAATACTAGTTAATTTTCACAACAACCCTTTAAAATGGGTAAGGATTAACATCCCCATTTTGCAGATAAGGAAACTGAGATACACAAGTGTTAAGTGATTTGCCAAAGACCAAACAGTGAATTGGCGGTATTGGAATGTATGGCTTTCTGGCTCTCAGTCATGTGATCAGACCACTAGCTACCCATTGTTTTGTGAAAATACAAACTCACAGCCAGAGTATGAATCCATTACTCCCACTGGTGAACAGTTACAAAAGCAGTCCCACTGAATTCATTGGATTCTTCCCCCAACATTAAAATTATTTCCCCATGTTTAGATCCTCAATGTTTATTTCTGGGTCATAAAAAGATTTGCAAGCCAGTTTGTATTCCTGGGTCTGCCACTGGCCTGCTGATTGACCTTGGGCAAGTCACTTTAACCACTCGATGTCTCAGTGTCTCCAGCTGCAATATGGAGATAATGATACTAACCCTTTTCAAAGTGCTTTGAGATTTACTGATGAAAAGCACAACGTTAACGCTAGATATTATTGTAATTGCTTACTGATTTGAAACAACCCCCTCTATTAACAGATACTCCGAATAGTATAGGCAGATTTTCTGCATTTTACTATGAGTTGATAAACCTGTAGCCAAATACTTTTAGTCACTGATGTAATATACAGGTTTCAAAACTAAAAGAGAAAACCAATCCTTAGATGAGCCACGTATCCACAGTCCCACTGGGACATATTCACCAATTAAATTTACAACATTTCCATGACTGCAACACAATTAAAAGTGTGTTATTTTCAGCTGTCCCATCATAGCACAAAATCTCCAATACACTAAGTGGGGTGGTAAGTGTCGAGAGTCTACATTAAAAGCAGGTGTACAGAAGCCAACTTTTATACAGACCTGGACCGTTCCACCATGTAATGGGGAGGGAAGAGAGTATTCTCCAGAATAGGCTGTGAAGTCAATCAGGTTATCACTAAAGCGGAGCAAAATTATTAAACTTTTTCCAGTGGGAAAAAAAATAAAGATTCAGGTGAACAAACATTCTGTGAATTCGGGTTGAATTTGCCAAATTGTTTTGATTGAAAAAAAATCTGAAGCATCAATCTGGTTGATTGGAAATGAATTTTTGTCTGATTCCCCCTCCGCCAATGAACTGAACGATCAGCTATTTGCCCAGTTTTACTTATTGCTGCTCTCCCAAGAGCACTGTGCTGAATGGTGGTGTGCTTGCTCTGCCTAGTCTATTTTTAGACCAGACAGTAAGTTGAATCCTCATGAGTGCCTGTTCCATAATATAGCACATTCCCATGGAGGAAAAGAATAAGAAAGCCACAGCAGCCCCCACCTCCTACTGTCTGGGGAGAGGAAAGGAAGATGTTGCCCCTGTTCCCTCCCAGAGGAGACAGTTTGTTGGCTCTCCAGAATCCCTAATCAGCCCTATCTCGTGGCAGTGGGGGGAATGGGGGAGACAAGAAAACTTCTCCTCCCAACCATGTTTGCAAAAACTGGAAAAGAGGACGCTGCTTGTTTGGGGGCCCACTCTGTCCTTCTCTCTTCCTATTAGAGAAGAGGTAGACTGGGTGTAGTACACAATTGAGGAAGAAATGATGAGTGATTTGGAGGACAGAGAGAAAAGGGACAGTGATTAGATGGAGAGGGAAGAAGAAATTAAATCTAAGGCAAACAGACACTGAAAAAAGTAGAAGGCTGATTTCTAACTTGACTCTTCTGAAATTGGGATTTGAACAGATTTGCTTCTAGAGAGGCACATGCTCCTGAGGCAAGTCCTTCTGCTTCCTACAGATTGTACAATAGGATCGATACATTGTCGTCCTCAAAAATATTAGACTGTTTCCAAAATAGGCAAGCAAGTTTTCAAATTGTATACAACGAATTCCTTCTGAAAAGAGCTCCTCCTCACAAGAATGATGCAGCCATGGAACATGGTTACAATTAACACACACTACACTAGACTTCTGTGTGTGTTCCAGTTACAAACGAGGCAGGATTTGTAAAGTTGTGTCAATTGTTTCTCTTCCTTCCTCAGGGCTGAACTTTTGAATTATGCTGTTCCACTGAATCTAACAAAATATCTACAAAATGAAGAGGACTATTTACCTTGGCATAGAGTTATATCAGCTGTATCTTACCTCAGAGACATGCTTAGAGATGATACAGAGCTCTACCCCAAGTTTAAGGTGATGCAATCAATGAAAGTCGTGTTTATAATCTATTAATCTTACAGTTCAGAGCTATAATAATGATAATATTGAAAGCTGAGTGATTTTCAAAGTTGCTGAAACTGTTTTATGTATAATTTCAACATTAAAAGATGTGTATTATTTATTATAGTCTTAACATATATTTTGTGAGCTGATTTATATAGGCCCATGAATTATAAAATACAGTCTAGGACTATATACTGGAAATAAAATGGGAGTGTTCCCAGTTATGGTTGCCACCTATTTGATTGTTCACCGTACAGTTGTTTTTGTGCCACGGCTGTCTTGTGTATTACAAGCAAGATTGTTCAAGATAGCAAAACTTCTGATGCCTGACCTACACCATGCAAGGTAACTGTGTCTCAGTGAGGTTGTCAGCAATCAAGATAGCTGACCTGGGGTGGAACATACTTCAATGGTCAGCACAAATTGTAGTCAGCATTATGTCAGGGAATCAAGCTGAGCAGAGAGTGTACTAGTTTACACTAGTTGTTATATTAACATAGTGTACACAAGGTTTGAGGATGATGGGACATCTTCATGTTGTGTCAGCACATCATAGCAGTACAAAGCAAAGGTGCAGTATGATGTTCACATCCTTTCATGACATTTTTTGTGAATACAGACTAACATGGCTGCTACTCTGAACCTTTCATGACATGGTGACTTTGTTGAAAGTTTTTTTTCCAGAGTATGGTTAAGGGGTTTTTGTTGTTATTACTGGTATTTTTAAAAAGGCAAACTATGAATATGAAAACCTTGTTACATCATGAAACCCATAAGGGTAATCAGAAAACCTCTTTATTTCAGGCATACTTTCGCAGTTTGGTTAAACCCATTGCAAATAAGCTGGGTTGGAACGATGATGAAACTGGAAGCCATGTGATGAGGTTAAGAATTTATTGTATACATTATTATTATAGACTCAGATTGTTGAACACTTGGAAAATCTCCTCTCTCTGTTTTTTTTTAAAGGCTTCTTCGTGCAGAAGTTTTAGGATTTGCATGCAGAATGGACGAACCAGATGCTTTGAACAATGCATCTAGCTTATTTTATTCCTGGTTAGATGGCTCAAGGTGAATATTCATGGTTTTTGCATTCAGTTAAGAGTACTGTGTATGGTATTATAATGCAACTCAAAAAAAGGTGGCAACCATAATTTATTGCTTTATGTTTTTTAGTCCACCTGTAAATCTCCGGCTCTTGGTATATCGCTATGGGATGCAGAACTCCGGCAATGAGACATCATGGAACTATATGTTTCAGAAATACCAAAGTACTTCATTAGCTCAAGAAAAAGAAAAGTTGCTCTATGGTCTGGCATCAGTGAAGGACATCACCCTTTTGGACAGGTTGCTGAAAATATGCTGAAAGACTTATTTTCCTTCTCCCATCTACCCACCCTCTCACATGCATTACCATTTTTGTCATATATAAAGTATGATATAGAACACAGCAGATTGTCAAATGCTGTCACTCTTGAGTAGTCCTCCCTGAGAAAATACTGCCAGTAACTAGGCAAAGTCATTGTTCCCCTTTTTGAAAGAATATGCTCAGGTGATGGTTTTTATAGCCCTTCATCTCTTGCAAACATAGAACTACCCTAATTGTTACTGCTACTATCAGGACAGTATCCTCCAAGGTCCCAGTTGGGATCTGGGCACCATTGTGCTAGCACATAAAATGACAGTCCCTGCCCCGAAGAGTTTACAATTGAAGACAAGATTAAACAAATGAGCGTAACTAACAATAGGAAGAACTAGAAGAGTGGGGACGAGGGTAACGGTAATACAGATATGTGGTGACCGAGGTTAGCATTGTGTATCACTTCACAGGTGCACATCATCATTTAAGGTTATTTCATAACTAACCCCTACACAGTCATCACGTCTATGACTAAAACATGGGTTATTCAGACAAACCCAAATCTGCAGAGCAAAAACAACAAACAACAAATCCACACTGTAGGTAACTCACAGGTGGAATTTGGCCCTTCCCAGAATCAACCTTTTTAATGAAATAAAGGAAAAAAAGAACACACCACTGAGAAAGCTGGCTGTGCACTCAGCTACTTGTTTATGGAGCTGAAGAACAGAACCCTCAGCCCCAAGTTACAGTATCTGAAGAGGAACCTCTTTGCAGCTGCTGCTGTACATTGTAGCTAGGAGTAGCTTCCTAATATTGTCCTTAAATGTGTGTCTGTGAGACAGTGAGTCCACCCATTTTATGGACCTATTGGTCACTCCCCTGACCTACTGCATTATAAACCTTCTGTAGTTCCCAAGATTTCATCCTATTAGACTAATGGACTTTGAGCTCACTCACTGGGATAGAAAACGGATAGATTTAGGGTAAAATTTTCAAGTGAAATAGGAAATCAATGGGAACTAGATGCCTGAATATCTTTGATGATCTAGGCCCTAAGCCCGGTTGATTTTCAGTGAGATGCCCAGAACTTACTTTGTGCTGGGGCTCAGCTCCAGCACCTCTTCTGTGAGTAGCGTGCCAGGCATAAGCTTGCACATATGGTGCATGCAAGGTCACGATATGTGGAAGATGCATTGTTTTTGCTTGAGCCCTGGCACCTTGAAGAAAAAAAATTTTAAAACACGGGCGATGTCTACATGCCTGTTGCTTTTGAAAAAAATCTTATCCTTAATAGGTAATCACATTTTAGACCAGTCTATTTCATCCTTAAAATGGTCTAGGAAAAATAAGTCTCTAGTGTTAGATTTTCCATAGGAAAATATAAATATTTCTGCAGATGGTAGGTTGGTCTCAGTAGCCCGAATAGTTTCTTTACAACTCACTTTTCACAATCTTTAATAGAAGGTTTTAAAGTCTGTTTAATTGTTTCCCCCTCTGGTTTCTCCTAGGTATCTAAAATATATTTACAACACCAGTCTTATTAAAAGTCAGGATGTGTTCACAGTCCTGAAATACATCTCCTATAACAGCTATGGCAAAACCATGGCTTGGGACTGGATACGTCTCAACTGGGAATACCTAGTCAGCAGGTACGTTAACATCCTTCAAATGTTTTACACTTAATTCTAAGTCTCCTGCTCTTTATTTCCTTCTCTCACCTTACTTAAGTCTCGCCACACAGTCACCATTAGGTGCAGAACACATCAATCCATTTCTCTTAATGTGAAACAAAACTTGCAGATATCTTTGGATTTACCCATTTCTGTGGAAGCAAATGGCTCTAAGAAGCAACTCCTTTGGACAGAGAGCTGAAAATGTTTTAAATATTACTGCAGCCTGTGGTGAAAAAGAAGAGTTATTGCCAACCTGAAAATCCTACACTAAATTTCCAGTCTGAATCAAAACTTGCTGAGAGCTGAGTAGCACAATGCAGGAGTTGGTTTGATTGTTAGTTACCTCTCTCTCTTTTGGACAAAGTAACTAGCTGTCAGATCTTTTAAACACTGCATAACGTAGGAAGCACATTTAAGGCCCTAGTTCAGTAAGTTACTTAAAAACCTGCCTGACTTTAAGCATGTGAAGAATCCCATTGGTTTATGGAGACCAGTTTTTCTGAGAATCCGGCCATTAACGTTTGGTCCTGTGAGACACTGAACACCCTCATCTGCCACTGCTTTCACAATACTCAGATCCTTGCAGACTAAAGGCTGTATAAGGCCCTCCATACCATTTAGGCTACCAGTGGAATAACTAAACAAACTTCAGAGGGAGTTATCACACCAGCTCATCATAAACTGTTGCAGAGGCGAGCAATAATTCCACGGATTCAGTGACTAACTCCCATGCAAGTGGTGTGAAAGGGCTGCACCTGCTAGGACAACCAATAGGCTGGTGCAACACCTACAGAAAAAAATGCATTGTAGCCCAGTGCCCTAAGTAGATTTTGCATCTCCCCCCTCCACCCCCCGCGCAAAAAAAAAAAAGAATTTCCAGTCATTTCACCCACATAGACACTGTCCATTCTGGTTTTCTGCAGGCATATTGATTATCACCTTTAGTGAATTGTGATCTCTCCCACACTAAGTTGTGACAGCACCAGAAGAATCAGTCAGGAAGCTTTTTGCTTTAATATTTACTCATAAAAAGCCAAGTATTTTTCGGGGAAAAGGAGAGAGAACATACACGACAGTTTCCTAGAGGTGTGCTGTATTATGGTTTGGGCTTTTTGAACCGTATATCTGTGTGGTAAAGAACTGTAATATCAACTTGAGGAATAAAAAGATGTAAATAAAAGCAGTTAAGACTTATTCCACAAGGTATATTTCTATCCCCAAATGATCACTAACAGCCAATGCCAGGAGAAAACTGTAGCAAGTTCCAGTTATGGGAGTAGTGTTCTATGGAATCTGCAGCCGTCAATCCCCAATCTGGCCTAATACAGAATATTCTCTTTATTCACAGCAATCTACAATGAGGGGGGTCTTGTACTTTTCTTATTCCCTCTTGTACTAACAATGAAATCAGCTTCCAGCTTTGCTCCTGTCTATTCACACCGATTCCTGAGGTGCTCTTTCACTCCTACTAATAGAGTAGGACATTAGAAAGGGAATCTAATTGAAACTCACATGAGGGCATAGAATCACAATAAGCCTGCCAATTTACAGAGGTCCTCTGGCCATACACAATTGTAGCTCCACAAAGGGATAGAGACATGTGAGGGTGTTGTAATGGAAATTTCTCTCAAGGGTTGGCTCGATTCCGGGCAGAAGACACCGTTCTTTGAATATGTTTACATCAGAAACCTTGCCAGGTATAGCTAAACTACAGAATAGTACAAAAATCATATATGTTTTTTCAGATATTTCTGGTAACATCTAGAAATTTGGGGCAACATTTATTTCATGATGCTAAAAGATTAAGAACTAAAAGAGTTTATTAACAATAAAGGAACAAACACTCCAAAAAAGCAATCTTATTTTTATATCAAATACTATTTATTTTTTTCAGGTACACTATCAATGATAGAAATCTTGGTCGAATAGTATCCATAACCCAAACGTTCAACACTGACCTTCAGCTTTGGCAGGTATGGAGATGATGCCTATAGTCATTTTAAGCCACTAAGTTGTAAGATCTTCCTCGGCAGGAAACTTGTCCTTTTATTCTCTAAGATGCCTAGCACAATTTTGGATGCTATAAAATTATTATTCAAGTACTACCAGTCCAATCCTGAAGTCCTTTCTCAAATAAAACTTTCCATGATTTCAAGAGCATAGAATTGGGCCTTATAAAAATTACTTGATGTTAAATACAACAGAAGTACTTGCTGCCTGTGAATTCATTTTGTTTTCTCTTTTCAAGATGGAAAATTTCTTTGAAAAATACCCTAATGCTGGAGCAGGAGAAGCACCCAGGAAACAGGCTCTCGAAACAGTAAAGAACAATATTGAATGGCTAAAACAAAACAAGGGAGAGATAGAAGCATGGCTAACAACTTAATGTTTTACTTCAAAGTTGCGAAGAATTAAAAAGATATTGTCTTAATTTTATGCACTTATTGTTTCTTACATGAACATTTGGGAATCCATTTACAAATGCTGTCTCTGAATCCTACAAACACTTATGCACTTGAATAACTTTACTCATGTAAGATAAATAAGACTACTTGTAAGAGGAAAGTTACTCATGTTATAAGCAATTGCAGGATTGGACTCCTGTTTGTACCTCCCACCTACTGCTTTGAAAAATGCACCCCTTTGTTTATGTAGAAAGAAACCCATTTAAGAGTATTTAAAACACTCAGGGATACCTTTCCAAGTGTATTTTACAGGTGGTCTATTCCAAGGGAATTAAGTAATAATTTGAACTTGTTTTAAAATCATTTTCTATGTTTATACTTGTAAAAAAGACATCATGTGGGTTTAGCTTTGCATTCTTAGTACTAAAGAAATGTCAGTTAATTTTCAGAGGGGTAGCCATATTAATCTGGATCTGTAAAAGCGGTAAAGAGTCCTGTGGCTTAATGTGCCACAGGACTCTTTGTCAGTTAATTTTGTTTCTCAATTGATTCTTTAAAAGTTTAACTATTGGTATTCAAGGGATCAATATTACCAGCTTACTGTTTAAGTTTATTATTTGGGATTCTGTAATTTTTATTTTTTGTTTTTCTCTCTAAATCCTGCCAAAGTAACAGCACCTAGGATAGAAGTCACTATAAGTTTTAGTTTAAGACAAGGAAATGGGTACCTGTTACCTCTCTTTCCATAAGAAGAGCAAAAACAAACAAACAAGAACAACTATGAAACGCTCACTCTTAACTAGGAAATAAAAGACTGGCCACCACTGCCTTTTTGAAAAACATCAACCACTGCTTCTAAAGAATTTCAGATTTGGCAATCACTTTGAGACCTGCAGCCCGAGGAGGGGCAAATCCATCCCTGTGCTGGAGCTAGGACCGGCCCAGGAACATGGGGGAAACAGACTGGGCCTCCTCTATCCAGGAACAACTGGAGGCCAGTTTGTCTCCCAGTGCAGGCTACTGAGTAGGCCTGAAAGTTGGCCAAACTTATCCACTATTTCAATGGGCCACTGAAGGAGGGCAGAATCAAGGGGGAGTAAAAGCACACCTCCTTTCACCCTGGAAAGCCGCCAGCAGAAGGGAGGGTGTGTGAGGCTGCTGAAGAGATGGCGCAGATCTGGCTGTGCACCAGGAATAGAGAAATACCCTAGGAACAGGGGGCCCCTGTGGGGCTACTCCTGCCTTATGACACCCCTCCAGCCCATTTGTTCCACCTTAGCTGGTGCAAAAGGGGGTGCAGAACAACTGTGAATCTGGATCCAGCTGTTAAAGAATAAGCAGTTTCTTCACTTTCAGAGATTTGAGAAGCAGAACTGATGCTTTCTCATGCTCTATTGACCCCTTATTCATGTTTCAGGCCAAATTCACCCTAGGCTGTGCAGGTAGCGTCCACTGAGGTCAGAAAATTCTAGTGATTGTTAGTCAATTGCTATGTGAAAGGAAAGTGTCAGCCAGCATTCCACAAATAAACATTTAAGGATTTTAACCTACAATGGTTACAACCCACTGCTGTTATATGCTTCCAATTGTGATGGGAACATGGCAAAGAGCCAAGTTACTTCTTCAGTGCTCTTGCCTTTGCCCAGCAATGAAAGTGAGGCAATTGTACAGAACCAAAATATGCACAGAACATGAAAGAAAACTTTCACTCCCCCCCATATGAAAAAAAATCATATTTATAATGGACTCCTCGTCTTATCTTATGTCTGTACCTTTAAATATTTTTATGATTGAATAAAGCAAATCAATATGGTGAATAAAGCAAATAAATATGGTGGCTCTTCTCCTGTGGGCTGATTTAACGTTAGCACGCTGCAATATAGAATACGTAGTAATACTCAATGGCACAGGCTGTCGTCCCCACACACACACACAGTCACACTGCCTATTTTTAGCCAAATGTTTTTGATCCTAACTGGCTAATATGTATTGTGTATTCCCCTCTGTAGCTGAGCCAAAGGAGAGAGAGATCTATTATAGCGCTCATCTTAAGAGCTGAGCATTTTAGCTTCACCTTGTTCTTTTAGCTCTGGAGGTCCTCAGTTCAATCCCTGGTGTGTCAGCTATCATATAAGTGAGGTCTCATCTGTAACTGAACCAGAGACTGCTACCATGAAAAGCATGAGAAAGGGCCAGCCTCTCAAGCTGAGAATTGCAATAGATCCATATCCTCTGTGGATCAGCCACAGAAGGAAACCCATTTCATACACTGAGCAATGGGTTACATTCACACCTATCAAAAAGAGAAGAGAATTAGTTTTACAAGATGGTTCAGCTCTATTAGCTTCAAGTCTGTCTGAAAAATACAGATTTTTATGTTCTAATTAATTAAACAATGAGAAAATATGAGGCAGCTCACCTAGTAGGAAGGGGGGGGGGGAGTGGAGTTTCTAAAGTTCTAAGTAGATTTGATCCAGTGCAATGTTGGACACTGATACAAGCAGCAGTAGAAAGGTTTGACAAGAGTTTCCGGTTGAATTTATTCCCTCAATCAACCAAAATAAAGTGTTTCATTGCGTTAGTAGATACAGCAAGCAGACACGAGGAGAAGCACATTTTTCAGGCAAGTACCTCACTGACTCTCATTTTCTGATAGGGAAGAGTTTTCCTGCCATTTCATTACTAGTCTGTAAGAGGTAATTGAACCTTTCGCATCAGCCATACTTTCTGTTTGGGAAAAAGGATGATGGATAACAGATTCTGTGTGGACGATAGAAAATTAAATGGTCACTGGGAGCCCTCCGTCATGGCCTCAGGGCAGCCCAACAAATGGCACCTTGCCTCAGTTTCCTTCTCGATTCCTCAGATAAACTCACTGCACCCTTCAGAGTATATAAATAGCCTTTTTGTGGTTTTAATTTATTACCCCAAATCCCCCTCAGAGCAGTCCAAACAGTACATTCGTCCCCAACCATCCATCCCCAAGCATGGCTCCACCGTCTCTCACCATGCCCCAGCTCAACTCCCAGTTATAGCTCTGGCATCTCTCACCATGCCTAAGCCAGCTCCTCTTGCTGGAGTGTTTCTTTGCCTTATTTCCTTCCCAGGTATGGTTCTCGTTATTGCCTAGCGACATCAGAGGGCTCAGCCCTATCCATTCCCCAGCCTTCAGTCTTCTCTGACCTGCTGGCTCTCTGAGCTTGAGGGCATCTCCCTCTCCACTCGTCTCTGGCCATGCTTAGCTCTCCAGCCTGGAGAACTTTGTAGGTGACTCTCTGACTGCCTTCCTAGCTTCTGCTTTCACCAGCCTGTTGTGGCTCCAGAGCTCAGCCAGGACCTCTCACCACCCTGTTCTTCAGTGGGACCTTTCCCTGAAGCTCTCAGTTCAGCTCTGCTCTTTCTTTGAGCTCTCTTTATTGTCAGTGCTGGGGGGCTCGCCCTTTCTGAACACTCCCTCTAGGCTCTCTGTGACGACTTGAGTTCTGAACTGCCCTTTCTCAACTCTCATTTATAATGCTCAAGGGCGGACCAACCCTGCTCATTACACCAAACTAGGGCACACCTGGACTGGACGAGGAGTGCTGAGCCAAATTTCATTTAAAGGGCCAGAAACTCTGTTACAGTCACAGAGGATTTCTGTCCTTTGTCAGAAACAGATACATTTGGTGCTCTAATAGGGTATGTTGATCTGAATTGGCTCTGCAAAGGTGGAAATAGATCCAAAAAAACAGGAAGAAAGCTGCTTTTACAGCAGGATAAAGGCTCTGGCAATTTCAAGTAATGTCCTTTAGATTATGCAGTCCTCTTGGAACCTTTAAACGGCTCATGGAGAATGTACTCTGTGGCATGCACCTCTTTCAGACTCTTCGTCATACATGGATAACAAATCTGGTACATGCTAAATCTTTTGGTCAGGAACTGGTGCATTTTATAAATGGTCTGCGATAAGGTTAAGAATGACAATTTGAAACTGAATCCAAAGAAATGTGAGCTGTTTTAAAAAGAGATAATTTTCCCTTGGTCATATGGATCAGCGAGGAAGGAATTTCCACTGATAAAGTGAAAGAGTGCAGAACTGGCTGGCTTTTTAGCTCTATGCAGCTCTTTAGGACTCTGCTGTTCCTATTACACCAGGTTCATTTTCTGGGTTGCCAATAGAACAAAAACTATTGCATACAGTGAGTAAGAGAAATGCCTGGAGTAATCACCACAGTGTACTTTGGCATTTACAGAGTTAGAACAGGCATTTGGGACTGTTTCAATGTCGCCTTACTCTGGCCTGAGAAATTTTCATATTAAACACAGATGCAAGTGCTCACAGAATGAGAACACTTCAGGCCCAGAAGGCTGCAGAAATTATAGGCAAATGAAGATGCTTTCTCTTGCTGCTCCTATTAAAGGGCCAATTGGAAATATTACTCTGAAGAAGAGAACAAGAAATGAAAAGCATCTCTGCAGTGCCCTAGATGTTGCAGCTGTGTAAGTATTCTTGAGTCAGTTGCTGAAACAACAGAAGCAGCAATGGAGAAGTGGACTATAAAGCAGTTAAAAACCGCACCATTAGAGGATCCCAATGGTAAAATAGGTCATGAATGAAAACTTTACTGGCAATTGCCTCTATCCTAGAGTATTGTGTCTTCTAACAGTACAGTAACAGCTCACTGGCATCCAGGTGAAATGGGAGAAGCTAACCAGTGATTGGTACAGATATCAACAGGTTGTACTAGATATATTGGAAAGAGGTACTAAGGATTAAATCTACCCCTACTGAAATCAATGGCAAAACTCCTGTTAAGTATACAGGGATCAAGATCTCACCCTAAGTTTATGTCTTGGCTTTAAAGCCCTTGTATATTTTGGGTTATGAAAACATTAACCAAGCTAAGGTTATATTTTAATTGGGAAACATTGTAACGGGGCCCCACTTTACATTCTCCACTGGAGTTACTCCAGGTTTACATCCACACACATAAGATAAGAAACTGTCCCAAGAGGTAAAAAAATTGGTATAGAAAAATATGATACAAGTGTAAAAACATTCCCCCCCAAAAAAATAGCACCGAAGCAGCCACAAGAGCACATTGCTGTTGATGTGTCTGAGCCTTTGTGGGAGCTGGTCTGGAGATAAATCTCCCTGGGTTACTGCAGCTTAATTTATATTTTAAAAAAAAAGTGTCTGAAATTTACCCAATTTTAAAAACAAAGAAAGAAAAACACAAGAGGCTGTAACCATCACGGAAGTTCTAGTTTCTAGCCCAAAAGTTGCAGGGGAGGTGGGGTGGCTTGCAAAATGAAATATCCAAAAGGGCAGCAATCCTGTGTACAGGTAGCACCTACAAACTGCTGCTGATAATGCTTCTCCCCCAGAAAACTGCCCTACATCACCTTCCCCTTCTTCATTGACCACGCATTTTTTTACAGAGGGATGCCAGACACAGAGATTCCCCTGACAGCAGTTTATGGCTAGCTGGTATTGCAATAGGTCTGCATAACACTTGGGACAATCTCAAGCTCAGGACAGACACTGGTCTCAGGGCTGTGAGAGAGGTGATCACATCCCCACAACAGGATTCATAGCGCACAGCAGAATTCTCCTTAACACGCATAAGCAGAGCTGGGTGAATAGCAGCTTTTCTGTTTGCTGGCAACTGCCCCCCCCAAAAGCAAAGTTTCAGCTCAAACTGAAAACAATTAAAAAAAATGTTTAGTGAATCAAAAAATCAAAAATAGTCATTCTGGGGCAAACAAAAGGTTGCATTTTAATTTTGAGCATTTTTACTTTTTTAAAGTTTTCAAATAAAAGTAAAGGAAATTTCTGAACAAAAAGCCCTTCAGCATAAAAAAGGGTGAAACTTTTGCAAGTGTCTTGAAACGAAATGCGTTGATTTTTTCTGAAGTGTTTTTGACTGAAATCATTTGGCAAAAATCAACAAATTCTCAAAATATGTTGGTGTTGCTGAATCTTCTTTTTTTGTCATCCTCCTCCCCCCCAAAAAAAGGTTTGTTTGGAAAAAAAATTCACACAGCTCTACTTGTGAGGAGTTATAAGTCAATTTGGAAGGCATGTTACAACTATGTATATTACTGTCACCTGCAGCCAGGGAACCCCCCCCCCCCATGGACTAGAAGCCACTTTACCACTTGCACAGAGGACTTTGATTGTCATTGGCTGGAGGGCTAGTCATCAGAATAGTTTCCTCCAGGATGAGCATCACCCAAAGCAAGGCGAGAGGTCAGTCTGTCTGCAGAGTTCCTCTCTTGTATTTCATGCTCGCAGCTGCTCTCACACTGTACTCAGGGAACCGTCGAGCCCAGTGAAGCAGCCTCCCAGGATAGAAAGAGGTTATGTTCTGTCAGTGGGCAGGTCTCACCCCATCTGTAATGCCCCAGGACTCTGAAACATGTGAGTTGTATGTTCTCAGTAGGCTTGGATGGGCAGGGGAGCACAAGACCCAGAAGCTGAAGGTGGTTGCATATTGTGTGAGTGTCCTTTTCTTGAAGACACTAAGATTAGTCATTTGTTCTGGTGTAAATTGCAAGAGGTGCAGGACTATGCTTAAAACTGTTAACTCATTTTATTTTAAGTCAAACAAGTGATGGTGACAGTAGGCTCAAGAGGGAGGTGCGCGGTGAGCTGTGGGAAACTGAAAAAAACTGCTGGCTGCACACAAAAGAAGGCAGCAGAGGGGGTCCCTCTGGAGGCTGTAGGCACAGGGGAAAGCCAGACTTAGTGCAGGGAGCTGAGGCTATGCCTTTGTGGCTCCCCATAGACACAGGGATGAAACACAGAGACAACAACATGACTTTGCAGTGGGATTGAAGTAAAATAA